GAAACGGGGAGAGAGAGAGGACATGAGAGAGAAAGGGAAGGGCAAGAGAATAAAAGAGAATAGAAGGAGAGAGAGAGAGAGAGAGGAGAGAGACAGGAGAGAGAGAGAGAGAGAGAGAGAGGAGAGGAGAAAGAGAGACAGAGAGAGAGAGAGAGGAGAGAGGGAGGTAGAGAGAGAGAGAGAGGGAGAGAAAGTAGGAGAGAGATGAGATGAGGAGAGGGAGAGAGAGGAGAGAGAGAGAGAGAGAGAGAGAGAGACAGGAGAAGAGAGAGAGGGAGAGAGACAAGAGAAGAGAGAGAGGAGAGAAATAGAGATAGGAGAGAGAGGGACAGAGACAAGAGGAGGGAGAAAGAGAGAGGGAGAGAGACGAGAGGAGGGAGAGAGGGAGAGAGATGAGATGAGGGAGAGGGAGAGAGACGAGAGGAAAGAGAGGGAGAGAAAGAGAGATAGGAGAGAGCCGGAGCAAGACGAGAGGATGGAGAGATACGAGAGGAGAGAGAGAGAGAGAGAGAGAGGAAAAACTGGAAGAGATTCAAGAGGAGAAAGAGAGAGAGAGGAGATAGAGTAGGGAGAAAATGTAAAAGAATAAGAGGAGGGCAGGAAGGAGAAGGGGGAGAGAGAGGAAATGAGAAAGAAAAGAAGTAATTCAGACAGAGAGAGAGAGATGGAGAGAGATGGAGAGAGAGAGAGAGAGAGGATAGAGGTGGAGGGAGGAAAGAGACAGAGCGACAGAGAGAGAGAGAGTGTGTGGTCTACTCTCTGTTAATAGGACCATAAAGAGCGAGAGCCACAGAAAGAGTGAGGATCTGATCAGGACTAAACCAGGACTAAACCAGGACTAAACCAGGATTTACTCAAATGGATTCACTCAAACTGGACCAAAATCCTATAATTCAGATCCTGTCATGAGGACTGGGATTAACGGATTAAAGAAGACAACCTTGTGTGGATTTAAATGAAACAATGGAATATTTTTTGGTTAGATTTGAGATTTCTTTTTACAGTTTGAGCACCTTTTCTACAACCTAAATCTTTTCTTTCTTTTTTATCTCAATAGCTTTCAATAGAAATACACCAATATTGTGTCTAATATAAACACGATTTTTTAAATTTTTTGTGTATTTTTGTTTATTTTGTTTTGCGTCAATCTAAGTAAAAATTGGACTGAAGAAAGAGAAAATGAACAACGTCTGAATAGATTTTTTTTTGTACGGGAACTAAATATTTTGTTTTGGCCAAGGCTCTTCTTTTTTTTTTTTTCTTTTTTTTTAAATAATTAAACTTTCAAAATGGTGGCAGGAGGACAAAGCTCAGAGCTCAAAGTTGAGATTTTCAGCTCCAACGTGACAGAGGACACAATGAGAAAACACATCGAGGTAAGAAAGACAGAAAATCTAAGATAAACTGAGAAGAAAACTTGTTTTATTCTGATATTCAGTTGATGCATTTTTAAGTATACTTTTCAAAATGTTTAAATATTCAGCACAGATATTTTCAAGCCTTCCAGTCAAAATTCAGAGGGTAAAATTTGCAGTGAAAGAAAATTACAGTAAAGATCCAAGATGCCAAGGCAAAAACAATCGATCATGTGACTGAGGCGGACAGAGGCTGTTTCTGATTGGCTGTTCTCTTCGGTGGGCGGGACTTATAGTTAAAAAGAGAGATTTTGAGATTTGGATTACACTAATTCTGACCAATCATGTAACTTTTCAGATTTTACTGCTGCTTTGCTTGAAATATCCCACAGTATGGCATTAAGCGTATATATTTCCATGGAGATGAGCTGGTGGCACCAATTGTGTAAACTACAGGTCATATCTGTGGAGAGGCATGCATGCTCACAGCAACAATGCAATTTTTCTTTATGTTTTAGTTTATTTTTTTTAGAAGCAAAAACAAATGAATTAAATGTGAGATAAATGTCATGCTGTGGAACATTCCAGTCAAAGCAAAAACATCTCCATGGAGACCACCCTAAAAGTTACGCAGAGCATCTTTAAGTAATGTACACGAACCTGAAATGTTTACTTAAAGGTGCACTATGTAATTTTTTGGTCGGGGGTCCAAATCTGCTTGTTTCTATGGCGATGTCATTGCTCTGCCCGGAATGTTCCACAGTATGACATTAAACAGCTCTACTTTCTTCTTTATTTAATCAATCACAGGTAGTTTTATAGCTCAGAAATACTTAAAAAACAACAACAACAACCAAAAAAAAACAGGCACCCTGACTGTGAACGGGGTCGTCTCTCAAAAGATCTGACTTGTAACTTGGTTTGGTTTGATTTCCACAAAGATAGAAAGGTTTAAACATTCCGGACAAAGCAATAATCCCACGGAGAAAAGCATTTAACGGACCCTCCACTAAAAAAGTTACACAATGCACCCTTAAGTACTGTACTTGTACTTCTTTACATTCCACCACTGCCCAGGACTATAGACGGACACCTTAACTGAGTAAAATAGTATTATAATCTTAATCCTAGCAGGTCTAAACCATGCTGTCATTGGTCGATAGTGTTATTTATTTTCATATTGATGTCTGTCACTGAGGGTCACTTCTGCTTGACTTTGCTTTGAACCAGTTTAATTCAGTCCAATGGAAAGTCCAGCGTCATCTCAACACTCTCTTTTAATAACAGTGTGAATATGGGCTTATATAACTGTGAATGTTATGTATCGGCAGGGTAAATCTGCTTGTGTAACAACTGGTATATGCAAAAATATCTATAAAACCTTTGAGAGATGGAAGGACAGTGTTTTCAATAGTCCAGTCCAGCTTCTTATGTTCTGATACCAGTATTGTTTTTTTTAATCTATATTGCCATATGTCATCCTCTCAGATGGAGGGTGAGAAACAGTTACCTATTGATTACTTTGTACTTTCCTGTGAAATAACCTAAAGTTTTTTTTTGTTTATTTGTTTAGTTTTTTTCTTAAAATACACACAATATTAGTAGTATTTATTTTATTTGGTCATTTTGCAGCACTACAAAATAAAATGAATCAAAACGAGACTACAACCCCATGAATCATGACCAAAAGGCTGAAGTACTTATAATGCCTACCCTTCAAAAGACACATACATTAAAAAAAAAAAAAAAAACAAAAAACATTATTCATTTTAACTGAATATAGAATGTATTATTATTATTATTATTATTATTATTATTATTATTATTATTATTATTATTATTATTATTATTCATTTATTTATTTATTTATTTTATATTTTTTTAACATTTTATTTATTTTTTTATATGTTAAAAAAATCTGGTATCAGAACAGAAGAAACTGGACCAGTATTTTTTTTTATTTTTTGTTTTGTTTTTTTTCTTTTTTCACATGCCATAAGAAAAATTAAAATAAATAAATAAATCTATAATCTATATCTATTAATAATTTTGTGTTAAGGTCTAGTCACAAATCAAAAAGATCAAGTTCAAAGTTTGTGAATTTACCTTTTTGATATTTCACAGGAAAGTACAAAGTAATCAATAGGTAAATCTGGTTCTCATGTCCCATCTGAGAGCTATGACATTATCACATCTTATCTGAAGAAAAAAAAACGAAAAAAAAAAAAAAACACTAAGTGATCATTTAGGTTTAATTATTTACTGTTATCCAATATTATTAATGAATACTAAAGCAGGGACAGAAAACAGCATTCATATCATACTTAACTTATTACTAAATGGATCCACTTGTGTTATGTAACTGTTAATAACTCTCCTTCTAACGGCACTATCGAATTTGGCTCCAATTCACTTTATGCTGAAAAAACATCGCCCTTCTCTTTGTAACTGCTGCTGCTGTCAGGCTCCTCGTTTTGGTCTTAAAATGTTTGTATTAATTCGCTCTTCGTGAGCTTGGTGTTTTTATTTCACTATTTTGTCCATAAAAATTCCTATTCCTAATATGGGACTCTGCTCCAAATTCACCCCCGTAACTGCCACCTTCTGTGAGCTTCATTTGACTGGAGCCTAGTCCACTTCTTTACCCAGTCGATGGGTGTCGTTCGCAAACTTGATCAGCTTTATGGAGTTATGGTTGGAGGTGCAGCAGTTGGTGCACAGGGAGAAGAGCAGAGGGGAGAGTACACAGCCCTGTGGAACTCCAGTGCTGATAGTTTGAGTGTCTGAGTCATTCTTCCCCAACTGAACACACTGGGTCCAGTCGGTCAGGACGTTTATGATAGTAGAGTTGGACATGTTGAAGGAGAGAGCTTGCCTGGAGAAGAGTAAGGAGGAGGATCATAGTACCTACCCATTTTAGTCTTAAAATGTTTGTATTAACCCGCTCTATATGATCCTAGTGCTTTTATTTGACTCTTTTGTCTGTAAACCAATTCCTACTCCTAATTTGTAACTCTGCTCCAAACTTCGCTCGTGTAACTGCTACCCTCTGTGAGCTTCATTGGACTGGAGCCGATGGGTGACGACACACTCCCTTACTCCACTTTTTTATACAGTCTATGGGATGAACGCAGAGCTAAGTCCAACAAACAAGATACTGGTGAAGCTTCCAGAGGAGTCCAGGTGCTGCAGGATGAAGTGTAGGGTCAGGTTTATAGCGCCATCTACAGTCTACAGGAAACTGCTGAGGTCCAGGAGGAGAATGATGGTCACATTTTTATACAACACGTTTCCACCTTCAAGGCGCTCAAAGTACTTTACAACAAAGAACTGCTCACCCATTCACACACACACACAAATACACCAGTGTACACAGATACTAGGGGTGAGGTGGGTTAAGTGTCTTGCCCAAGGACACAACAACAGTATTCCAATGATGTTTATGTCGAGAGTGGGATTCGAACTGCCAACCTTCGGATCAGTGGACAAAAGCTCTACCAACTGAGATAATATTGCTCACACAATGACGAATGAATTGAAACCGGGAAGGACATGGCACGAGTCAAATGCCTCCTTGTCTCCTCTGTTTGTCTCCTTGTCTCCTACCTCCTCGTCCCCTCACTCCTCTGTCCGTGTGTCCTACAGGAGCCCAGTACGAAGCGCTCTAAACCAGTGTCCAGAGTCACGTCTTTGGTGAATCTTCTTCCCCCAGTGAAAACAGCTCCACTGAAGAGGATCGGACTCAGTCTACAGGTAAAACCAGGACTAAACCAGGACTGAACCAGGACTGAACCAGGACTAAACCAGTAATAAACCAGGACTAAACCAGGACTCAACCAGGACTAAACCAGGAATAAACCAGGACTGAACCAGGACAAAACCCGGACTAAACCAGTAATAAACCAGGACTGAACCAGGACTAAACCAGTAATGAACCAGGACTAAACCAGGACTCAACCAGGACTAAACCAGGAATAAACCAGGACTGAACCAGGACAAAACCAGGACTAAACCAGTAATAAACCAGGACTAAACCAGGACTCAACCAGGACTAAACCAGGAATAAACCAGGACTAAACCAGGACTGAACCAGGACTAAACCAGGATTGAACGAGGACTAAACCAGTAATAAACCAGGACTGAACCAAGACTCCAAGACTGAACCAGTACTAAACCAGGACTGAACCAGGACTAAACCAGGACTGAACCAGGGCTAAACCAGGACTAAACCAGTACTAAACCAGGACTGAACCAGGACTAAACGAGGACCTAACCAAGACTAAACCAGAATTAAACCAAGACTGAACTAGGACTAAACCAGGACTGAACCAGGACTAATTCAGGACTAAGTAAGGACTAAACTAGGATTAAACTAGGACTACACCGAGACTAAACTAGGACTATACCAGGACTATATCAGGACTAAACCAGGACTAAACCAGCCTCTCTCTCCTCAGCGCTCCATCAGTTTACGCACAGACAGTCGAAATGACCACTCTCCAGTCTCTCCTTCTGCTTCCGCGGTGAAAACTCGAGTCGTCACTGCGACTGTATCCAGCCCTGGTTCCTCGGCAACCATCCCTCGCGTCTCCACGGGAACAGCGGCATCACTGTCATCAGGGTCCAAACGACGGGACAGCAAACTCTGGAGCGAGACTATTGATGTTCGGCTCTCACAGACTCTGAGTCCCAAAGAGATCAAGAGACAAGAGGTAAGACTAAACCAGGACTAAAACAAGACTAAAGCAGGACTAAAGCAGGACTAAACCAGGACTGGACCAGGACTGAACCAGGACTAAATCAGAATTTAAATGAAATTAAACTAGCACTAAACCAGGACTAAAGCAGAAATAAATAAGGACTAAACCAGAACTGAATCAGGACTAAAACAGGACAAAACCAGGAATGAAACCAAGACTAAACCAGGACTAAACCAGCACTAAACCAGGACTAAACCAGGATGTAAACTGGATTGAATAAGCACTGAAACAGGATTAAAGCAATGCTGAATCAGGCCTAAGAAAACATTAAACCAAACTTGACCAAGACTAAAACTGGACTCAAAAAAGAAAAAAAACAACAACACAAAAACAAAAACATGAGGAAAGTAAACCAGCAGTGACCAAAAGACTAATGCAGGACTAAACCCGGACCTCACAGGAGGTGGGAGAAACTGTGTTTATGCCTATTTCGCCTTTGCAGTATTTAATAGTATTATTTTAGAACTTTTCCACTGTGACAAAATTAAATACTATTTGTGTGTGTATGTGTGTTCAGGCAATTTTTGAGCTGGTCCAGGGAGAGCAGGACCTGGTGGAGGATCTGAAACTGGCCAAAAAGGTGCATGTTATTTAGTGTTCTGTAATAAACTAAATCTAAACTGTAAATACACTTGTGGTAAGCTGATGATGTATGAAGAGTTTTTGTCTATCATCTGATCTAATGTAATGTCTTTCCCCTGTTTGTGATTTGTGTGGTAATGTAATGTATTTGCTGCAGGCCTACCATGACCCCATGAGGACCCTGTGCATCATGACTGAACAAGAACTCAACCAGATCTTTGGGACTCTGGACTCTCTCATCCCCCTGCACGAAGGTGAGTTCCAGTCAGACCTGAGATAGTCCTGGTTTAGTCCCGATTTAGTCTCTTTTCGTACACCTGAGTCAAAAAATCCTGGTTTAGCCTGTGCGTAGACTTATCGATACTTTGCAGGTTCTATGATGGAATATTTAGGGGTTACCATGGTGACACAATGCACACATTAGGAAACACAGCCAGTATCAATTGGCTGATGATTAAATTGTACCTTGCCATGACTTCTTGTATTACAAAAAACAAAAAGCAAAAAAACAAACAGTTGGACAATGTTAACTTTAGCTTCCCTCCATTTATATTAAGCCATTGACGTAAAGAATGTTGTATTGTTATTTGAAACATAGCAATACAGACTATGGTGTGTGTTTTCACTTTAATTTCTAAATCCTTTCTCGTCAGATCTTTTGAATCGACTGAGAGATGAGAGGAAATCAGACGGATGCACTGAACACGTGGGGCACATTCTCACACAGTGGGTGAGTGACTGACCAGGTTTAAAACAACTGTGATGGAGAAGACTTTTTACACTACAGAATGTACCAGGCCAAGCACAAATCTTCCTATGTTATCAGGATCATACTGACAGTTTTAATTTTAAGCACAGTGGGATCAAATAATGTATAAATCAGAGTTATTAGCTTGGTGAATTTTTAATCAAGAGTTAAAAAAGTTGAGCCATACAGGACTATATGAATATTGTACAATTTTACAACTTACCCTTATGTCACAGATCAGGGCTTCCCAACTTTTTCCTCTCAATGAAAATAATTGTTTTAAGGGACCGGTGAAGGGGCAGGTTCAGTAATAATAGGACAAAATGTTTATAACTCTTATCCCTAGTTTGAAAAAAAAATTGTTGATAATCATGTTTGTTGTGTAGGTTCATTTGCCCTGCATTACAGGAAATATGCTGGTAGACAAGGAAGAGTTTTGTGTCTTTTTTAAAAAGATATATCATATTTTCCTCTGGGGCCTGATATCAGATGGTCCATGGTCTGGTTTTGGGCCCCGAACTGGTGGCTGTGGACCCCTGTCATAGATAACACTGTCACCATTTCCATTTGTGTACTGTGTCTCTTTACTCCATGGCTTGCAAGCCTATATTTTTATGTTCTATGTTTTATTTTATTCTACTTTTTAAATAAAGGATAGAACATTTTTAGTCTATAAACATATACAAATCGGGATATTTCTACTTCATTTGAGTGTTTTGCTTTTTCTTACTCTTTGTTGTGTGAGCTACTGTAAGTAATTTTTGCTGTAGATCGATCAAGCTTGTCTACATCTAAGAAATCATAAAATTGCGACTGATCAGTTTAAGAAACAAAAGCCTGACCTTTTATGATCTGCGTTATCTTCTCTCTCTCCCTCTCAGGTGCCCTGTCTGTCTGAGTACACCCCTTACTGCAGTAACCAGGTGAAGGCCAAGGCGCTGCTGGACCAGAAGAAGCAGGAGAGCCGGGTGCATGACTTCCTCCAGCGCTGCCTCCTCTCTCCCTTCAGCAGAAAACTGGAGCTCTGGAGCTTTCTGGACATTCCGCGGAGCCGACTCGTAAAGTACCCGCTGTTGCTAAGGGAGATCCTGCGTCACACGGACAACGAGCACCCCGACCGACAGAGGCTGGAGGAGGCTGTAAGTAGTAGTTAAAATCATATCTTACATGCACTAACAAGTTTAAAGTGTTTTCATTAACACATGTTTAACACAAACCCTGAATATTTAGGCTGTGCTCCTCTCTCAAATTGAAAATACTCTGTTCCACCTTGTGATGTCACGTGGTAATACTTCAATCTGTTTTTAAACTGTAGGCACTGCTCTGTCTGACTTTAATCTGAGCTTTGTTTTAACACAATCTGACCAAGAACTGACTTAGAACTACAAAATGTGAACTGATTTTGAGCTGTTAAACAAGTCCTACTCTCACTTTTTTCACTTCTTCAAAATCAAGCACCTAAAGAGCACCAGAAATGCTCATATTGATCACACGCTCCTGAAAATAGTCCTAGTTTACTTCTAGTTTAGTCTTGGTTCAGTCCTGGTTTAGTCCTAGTTTAGTCCTGATTTAGTCTTGGTTCAATTCTGATTTAGTCTTGGTTTAGTCCTGATTCAGCCCTGGTTTAGTCCTAGTTTAGTCCTGGTTCAGCACTGGGTTTAGGTCTTGTTTAGTCCTGGTTCAGCCCTGGTTTAGTTCTAGTTTAGTCCTGGTTCAGCCCTGGTTTAGTTCTAGTTTAGTCCTGGTTCAGCCCTGGTTTAGTTCTAGTTTAGTCCTGGATCAGCCCTGGTTTAGTTCTAGTTTAGTCCTGGTTCAGCCCAGGTTTAGTTCTAGTTTAGTCCTGGTATAGTCCTGGTTTACTCCTGGTTCAGCCCTAGTTTAGTTCTAGTTTAGTACTGGTTCAGCACCGGGTTTAGTCCTGGTTCAGTCTTGGTTTAGTTCTAGTTTAGTCCTGGTTCAGCCCTGGTTTAGTTCTAGTTTAGTCCTGGATCAGCCCTGGTTTAGTTCTAGTTTAGTCCTGGTTCAGCACCGGGTTTAGTCCTGGATCAACCTTGGTTTAGTTTTAGTTTAGTCCTGGTTCAGCCCAGGTTTAGTTCTAGTTTAGTCCTGTATCAGCCTCGGTTTAGTCCTAGTTTAGTCCTGGTATAGTCCTGGTTTACTCCTGGTTCAGCCCTAGTTTAGTTCTAGTTTAGTACTGGTTCAGCACCGGGTTTAGTCCTGGTTCAGTCTTGGTTTAGATCTAGTTTAGTCCTGGTTCAGCCCTGGTTTAGTTCTAGTTTAGTCCTGGATCAGCCCTGGTTTAGTTCTAGTTTAGTCCTGGTTCAAACCTGGTTTAGTTCTAGTTTAGTCCTGGTTCAGCCCTGGTTTAGTTCTAGTTTATTCCTGGTTCAGCCTCGGTTTAATCCTAGTTTAGTCCTGGTATATTCCTGGTTCAGTCCTGGTTCAGTCTGGTTCAGTCTTGGTTATGTCCAGGTTTAGTTCTGGTTAAGTCCTGGTTCAGTCCTGGTTTAGTCCTGGTTTAGTGGACCAAACATAACCGTCTGTTCATAAAAAAGCCCTCATAATAATCTAAAGATATGATATTAGTGTACAAACATCCATGACCCATTCAACTTACCAGGATGAATTGCTATCTTGGTGCACTGCTGTGTATGACTAAAAATGTTGAGTGATTTATTCATCATCCCTCCCTTTGTCCTGCAGATGGCGATGGTGCAGAGCGTGGTGGCGGACATAAACCGTCAGACCGGAGAGTCCGAGTGTGAGTTTTACAAAGAGAGGCTGGTTTACACCGAAGAGGGACACAGACACGAACTAATCGAACGCTCCCGAACTCTGAGCTGCCACGGAGAGCTGAAGAACCACCGGGGAGTGGTAAGTACATGATTTATAATACTACTGTTAATACTATTACTACTACTATTACTATTACTCCTACTACTACAACTATGATTACTACTACTACTACTACTGCAGCTGCTGCTGCTTCTAGTACTACTGCTACTGCTACTACTACTACTACTGCTGCTGCTGCTACTACTACTACCACTACTACTGCTGTTGCTGCTGCTTCTAGTACTACTGCTACTGCTGCTTCTGCTGCTACTACTACTACTACTACTACTTCTACTACTACTGCTACTGCCACTAATACTGCTACTGCTACAACTACTACAATGCCACATACTGCTTTACTACTACTACTACTACTACAATGTACTTCAATGCAAAGGTCCTTCTTTGGTTAAACCAGGGACAGACTTTTTTTTTTTATTTAAAAAACATTGCTGTATGAGAACCATGTGGAAACAACAGCTTGTGACACCTTCAGCCAGGTGTTTGTAATAAGAAACAACTATCTTTATTCAGGGCAGTCTTGTGTGATGTCACATAGTACTCAAAATTGCAGATGGTACTGGACGCAACACACATTGACACAAAGCTGAAAAATGTATCTACTTTGCACTAAAATTGCCAGAAAAGACTATGACCAGTGGATAATGATATTCACAGTTTAGAAGCAAAAACAGATTTACTGTTCAGTTTGACTTTATCCTCTTTTTTTCTTGTTTTTGTTTTGTAGAAGCTGCATGTTTTCCTCTTCCAGGACGTGTTGGTTATCACTCGTTCCGTCTCCTCCTCTGAACAGCCAATCAGATACCAGCTCTGCCGTCAGCCAATCCCCATTGAGCACCTGGAGCTGGAGGACCTTTCAGACGGAGAGATGAGAGTGGGCGGGTCCATTCGAGGAGCCTTTAGCAACAACGAGAGAAGTCAGTACCAAATCAGTCACTAATATGTCAATATTTTAAGAACTTCACTAAAAACTGGCCACATTGTTAGAAACTTTCAAATATTTTGGCCGAAGATAAAAGTTAAGAGTCATTATTTCTGTTTTAGATCTAAGACTGCTAACACCAGACTGAAGTCAGTTGATTTCCACACATCAATCTGAAATGACACATATTTTAATCTGATTTCTCACACTGATCGGTCAAAGCTCAAGAAATCAAAGTTTTGTTAAACCCAGATGAAACAAAAGCACAAACCTTTTTACCATCCACAAATATTGTTTCCACTCAAACAGGCCGAAGTACAAGGGTGAAGTTGGCATCCCCATGTTTGTGTTGGTTAATTTGTGCGCTTCACCTTTGGCTCCACCCAAACAAATTCTCGTAAACAAACATCATAAATATTGTGGGAATTCATATTGCTGGCCAGTTTATATTAGACCTGGTTAGTTTTTAAAATTATTGGTTCAGAAAAAAAAAAAAAAAAAAGAAAATTACATTATTTATTATTACATTTTGTTATGCATTAAAATATTTTGATATCATTACTAAAATGTTTTCTATTTTATTTGCAGCTAAGAACTTCTTCCGAGTCTCGAGTAAAGTGGGAGGACAGAGCCACTGTTTTCAGGCCAGTGACGCCTTCAACAAACAACAATGGATCAACTGCATCCGACAGGCCAAAGCCACGCCCCCTTCTACGTCTGCCCCGCCCCCTTCAACGACTATCCCACCCCCTTCAACATCTGCCCTGCCCCCTTCTATAACCACTCCACCCCCAGGACTGGCCCAAGACGAGCCCGGGGACCAGGGGTTGGACAGGACACTGCCCGACATCACCCACGTCAATGGACAAGATTTGGAAAAAGAACATGCTAAAGAAATGGAGGTAGAGGAGGACATAGGGGTTGAATTAGATAGGACGAGTGTAACTGAAGAAAGACTTGCGGAGAATGGAGAGGAAGAGAAAAGTTCTGTTGAGATTTCCACAGATGAACAAAACAAAATGATGGAAAACCGGGATGTAAACAGAGCGGAGATGGACTCTATACAAGAAACAGAGGAAGCAATGCAAGTGGAGTCATGACAAAAAAATAAAAAAAGACATAAGGTTAGTCTCACGTGACAACACAACAGTCAAGAGGCCCTATAGTTTAAAGGTGCACTGGGAAACTTTTGTGGTGGAGGGTTTACCACTTGCTCACATGCTCGTCTCCATGGAGATCATAATCCTTTGCCTTGAATGTTCCACAGTATGACATATGCTTAATGCTAAAAGTTACACAATGCACCTTTAAACTGAGCTGGAGGACAGGTCAGAACAATATGGTGGGATTTGCTCTTTAAGTGTCAGATTGCAGATTTGTTAACCAGGTTTATGGTGAATATCTCTGTAATTACTGGGCCTATCCCCGTGAAACAAAAACTGGCAGAGTCCAACGTCTTCTCAGTCAGTATAAATTAACAAAAGTGAAACTGGTTCCATTATTCAACTCCAAAAACGCGACTGTTCTCAGTTGAAAAGACGTTAAGCCATAGGATCAATAAGAGTTTGTAAAGCTAAGCCCTAACAAATAATCAGGATCAACATCAGTGATTCATAAGTTTGGAGATTTCTTTCTAAAGCAGTAAGTCTCCCATAGAGTTAAATAAGCCCCTGCCCACCATCTTGAAGTTTACTAAGTCTACTATTGATGAATATTCCAGGCAAAGCAGAAAAATATCCATGGCGACAAGCTTGTGAAGTACCTTCTAACAGAAAGGTTACATAGTGCATCTTTAAGTAGGACTGAACAAGATGAGAGAAAAATTCAGTATTTGACAAATGTGCAAAAATGTACAACAGCCATATTACAAAATGATAATTCTATATTCAGAGGTAGACCTAGTTTAAAAATCCTACATTACACAAAACTGACTCTTGGAAACTTTAAGCCACGTTATAATGTTGATAAGTCCTCAAAAACATACCCGGAGTTGTGTTTTGTTTCATTCACATTTTTGAGTAATCCTGCATTATTTTTCTACATCTCCAAAGTTCAAAATGCTTTGTTCCACTCTGTGATGTCATGAAGCAGTTGTTTTCAAGTTAATAGCTACATTTTACCTTTAGTTCAGTAGAAATTGACAATTCCAGGGCTGAAATTATCCAAGTGATTCTACTGAAGGTGTATGGAGCTACTCCTCATAGTAAAATTGATTGTCTGAACGTAACATCCGATTTATAGAGGTTCAGTAAATGAGAGGACAAAACAAATAATGCACAAAATCTGGTATATTGTAACATTTTAAAAGAAGTTAAAAAAAAAACACACTTTCCATTTACTGTTATCATAAAGCTTTTGTCACTTGTAGACTTACAGTGGGAAGAGCAACTAAACCTTTTACTCAGATAAATGTACTGTTACACTGTCAAATTACTTGATGCATTTGAGTAATGTACTACCAACTCTTTGCATATTACATTAAGTTAATACAAGAATGTATGTATAAAAGTATTTTATTACACATTTACATCATTTCATGTCATTTCATTGTTCTTCATGATAAAAGACAGTTCAAAGTTGAGTTAATTTAATTCAAAAGCGGTTATTACTGTACACTGTAATGTAATGATGTAATCTGAAAAAGTTGTGTGTATGTCTCCTGTAAAAAAGTGCAATATTTTAGATGACTGTAAATCAGATAGGTAGGTTTTATGTACATATAATGCTTATAAAGTTAAAATGAGCAAATGTTTGAAATAAAATGCTGTCCTTTACTTCTTCAGTCTTTTGTCTAGGTTTAATCACATTTAAAGATTCATTATGTAACTTTTCTGGTGGAGGGTCCGTCACCTGCTTGTTTCTATTGAGATGTAATTTTTCTGTCTGGAATATTCCACATTATGACATTAAACAACTCTACCTTACATTTATTCAATTACAGTGGTTTTATTGCTCAGGCAATCTGACTGTTGCCTCTCCACAGATCTGACCAGTAACTTGGTCTGGTTTGGTCTCCATGGAGATACAAAGGTTTGATGAGACGCTGTGAAACATTCCAGACAAAACAATAACATCTCCATGGAGAAAAGCCTTTAACGGACAAGCCAATAGAAACGTTACACAATGCGCCTTTAAGTAAAATTGTCCAGTCTGGTTTAGATCCTGATTTGAGTGTTTTGGCTCCCTCTAGTGGCTCAATACATATAGTCATTAATACAAAATAATTAAGTAGTGTATTGTAATGTATTATGGGGTAATTCCTTAAATGTTCACAGTGTAACTTTTCTAGTAAGAAGCTGTGTTACCGTCTTGTCTCCATGGAGATGTAGATGTTATTTCTTTACTCAAAATGTTCAACAGTATGGCATTAAGCCAATTTTCTTGCAATTACTGTATTTATTGCGCAACAAACCTGGAAAAACATGATCTGGGCTGTAACTTGGCCTGGGTGCGTCACTGGGTGAGATAGACAGGTTTAATACCATACTGTGGAACATTCATGGCAACGAAAAAACATCTCCATAAAAAGTGGCCGTTACTCTACGAGAAGTTACATAGTGCCCCTTTAAAATCAAGATAATGAAAAAGCTGAGACCATATGATCCAGTGTCATGCAAATCTATTTCTGCTACTACAACAGAGTAAGTAAGTACAGAACATTTCCCTTTATTTAACATCCCCATGATGACAGTGTTCAATTCTATTCAACAATATCAACGCAGCTTTACTGATTCAAAAACCTTCGGCTGGGGCTGCGCAGTCAATCGAAATATAAAGAGATCAAGATTCAATCATGTTTATTCGTCAGTGATATGGTGGAGGTTGGGTTTTCAATCTATAAGTCCACAGCCAATCCTCTGTCAGTACAAAAATGTGGTTTGGAGCAGATGGAAGACTTTGGATGAAGAAATTTGAATATTTTTTGTGTGAAATGGAACTGCAGTTAAACGTCTGTATTGTTTATGCTAACAAAATCAATGAACCTCAACAGTGAACGCACACTCCGTAGTTCTGGAAGTCAATTTCTAATTATTATAGATTTTCCAAAAATATATATATTAAAAGATTGAAAGTTTGCACAAGGCTGATCAGATATGTGGCAACTAATGACCACAAGGTCTGTAATATTATTTATACCACGATCAGTGAGAATTCAGAAGTCTAACAGCCATGCGTTAATACTGCATAACGCACTAGTCCAGCAAAAGACAAATCACTGTTCCATATCACTGCTCTGCAGCCACCACCATGACATCACCATAGCAACAGGTCAACAAATGCTCAAGTGCTGAGGGTTGAATGTAGTAACTAGCAAAATTTAAAATATTGTAATAACTGATATTTTGGACATTTACATACAGGAAACAGACTTTTCACATTCACAAGTGACACATTTCTGTTTGCAGCCGTGGTAGAAACACATTATACAACTTGGAGCTGTGCGTTATGCAGTTTTAACGCACTGCTCCTTGTCGTTTAATGCTCAACTGCTCGGAGTAGAATGTAGGGACTAGCTTCCAATTCCATGACTCCTTTTTGTTTAATGTTTACTTAAAACTGTTTCAGAAACTTTACCATCAAATCTTGCATGTTAAACATGCCTTTTTTCTTAAAACAACCTGTAATGGATTTTATCATGGTTAGCCTCCACTGTGCCTTTGAATTCTTTACTTAAAATTTACTTCTGGAACCAGAGTGGGCAGTCACTGTCCATACAACCATTTTAAAGGTGCATGGTGTAACTTTTCTGGTGGATGGTCTGCCAACTGCTTTTTTCCACGGAAATGTCTTTACTTCACTACAGCACGGCATTAAATGTATCAATTTTCAAAGACATAAACAAGTGGCGCTACAAGACCAAGTTACTGGTCAGATTTGTGGAGAAGCGACTATGCTGACAGTGAGAATGCCACTGGACTGGGGAGGCTCACAAAATCTATACTGGGCAATTGTTAGCGAACGCTCTTCCTGAAAAGTTGCATAGTGCACCTACAATTTTGTTTTGAGAAAGACTAAATAAAATCTAATGGGAAAGAACCAAGTTTGATTCAAGAACCGTAGGTTGGGCTGGGCGAATATTGATCAAAATCCAGGTGCTCATTCAACCTCATCAGTTTAACCACACACGAGTGCATCCTCATATGAACAGTAAATGCTTGAACTGTATCCTCTTTAGTTTGACAAATACGACACTGAAATCCCCTTTTATTTTTGTGACTCCTCATGTGCCAGATGAAACTCTTCTTCTTATTGAACCCAAGTCCGCATTCTTTACAGATAAACGGTTTTGTGGCGTTTTTCGTTGAATATTTGTCCCTGTCCTCCTCTGTGTGCGAAGCGATGTGTCTCTTAACATTGGCGTTCCTTGTGAATCTTTGGTAACAGATCGGACAGCTGAAAGGTTTCTCACCCGTGTGCGTTCTGACATGAAATCTCAGATTACTTGGATGTTTGAACCTTTTCTTGCACAGCGTACACTTGTAAGGTCTCTCCCCGGTGTGGATTCTCACATGAGAGTTATAGATCGACTGTTTTGAGAACCTTCTGTTACAGATCTCGCAGCAAAATGGCCGATCGACGTTGTGGATTTCCATGTGACGTTCCAACCACTCTTTTTCGGCAAAGTTGAGTTGACACTCTTTGCATGAAAACGGTCGAGGTTTCACCCTTCTGTGATACTGCAAATGAGCTCTAAATCTCTTCCCGGACTGGATTACTTTTTGACATAGCGGACAACTGATGCTATGCGTGTCTGGATCTGAAGAACTACTTTGAGTTGTCTCTCCCTCCGTCTGTATCTGTGTGTGTGTTTGCATGTGTCTCATATAGTCACTTTCAGAGGCATAGCAATTTTCACAAATCGAACACCTGAATGGTTTTGATGTTAAAAATGTGCCATCAGAGTTCATATCTGTATTTACATCGGCATTGTCCACTGCATTCAGGTGCTCAGTTTGAACCTCAGCTGGTCTGCTAAAATGCTTTCTACAGTGTATGTCATAAGTGTGTCTTGAATTAAACCCTCTTTTACAAACAGAACAATAAAATGCTCTTTGAACCTTGTGAGTCCTCTCGTGGTATGACAGACTCAGCTTCTTGGAAAACTCTGCTCCACAGACCCTGCAGCTAAAGGGTTTTGAACTTTCCTTGGGTTGCATGATTTCACCATCGTTTTTGTGCGTGGCAAAATGTCGACGCGCGTTATTATTCGTAAATGTTTTGTGGCAAACTGGACACGTGAATAGTTTTGGGTTTCTGGACTCTTTTTCGTGTGTGGACAAATGCAGTTTTAGGTTAGTGGCTCTTAAGAAGGTTTTGTAGCATACCGGACAGCTGAAAGGTTTGACTCCTGTGTGCATTTTCTTGTGCCAGTATAAATTGGCTCTGTGCTTAAAGCCTTTGTCACAGACTGTGCATTTGTAAGGGCGTTCTTCAGTGTGACTCCTCATGTGGGACCTTAACGTGTCTCTGGAGGTGAACCTTTTATTACAGAAGCTGCAGCAGTGTGGCCTGTGTGCACTATGAATCTCCATGTGCTGAACCAACCAATGTTCGTCTCTAAACCTGGCCCCACACTCTTCACACTTAAAAGGCATAGTTTGTACGTTCTTTGCATGGCGACTGATATGATATGAAAGATTTTTTTGGCTTGAAAATACTTTGTTACATAATGTACAGCCGAAACCTTGTTTTTTTGGATAATTTTGAATGATTCTTGATTTTGGTCTGTAATTTAAGCTGGATGTCCCTCTCATCTGGCTCTTTGAAAGTGAAGGATGACTCTTCATGTGTTTATTTAGATTTGTTTTTGAAGTAAATTTGTGTTCACAAACTGAGCAACTGAATGGTTTTTCTCCTGTATGTGTTCTTATGTGATTGTCCAAATTATATTTTCGATCAAATTTCTTTTCACAATAAGGGCACACATGTGGTCCTTTAACGTATTTCTTTCGCTTAACGTCAGGTGTAATGGGAATACTATCTGTAGGTGACTCCGCAGATTCAGAATCGTCATTCCAATCTTCAGAATTGTCTGTTTCCGAAGAGTCCTCCTCCTGTTTTCGATCCTGCTCATGATTTGTGAAATGTGTCTGAGGATCTAAGCTGAAGACAGGTTCATCAGTTTCTTCAACTTTGCCATCGTCTCCAATTTTCACAGCAACAATAGTGAACGGATAATCCTCCTCCTCTGGTTTGATGAAACCTCCTTCGTCTTTAATGACAAAATCACCTTCTGCATTTTCATCAATAATGACAAAATCTGTAAGAAAGAAAAGAAAAACGTAAGCTGTGAACTGACACAATTATTGTTGATAGTTGTGAAGGCAGGAGCTCAGGGTGCTGTTAGAATTTACAGATTTTTTTATACCTATTTCAAGTCTGTTTTCATAGATTTTTCTTATTTTCATATGCTCAAATATTATACTCTTATGTATAAGCATATATGCAATCCAAGTTTAAGAGTTCTAACATGTAATCATGACTATATGTTTCTTTAATGTAACACACCTTGTGAAGTGTAATCAGTATTGTAAAGTCCCATGTACGTACTGAAACCTAAGGTTTGCAAATATGTCATTTAAGCCTCATGTTTACGTAAGGGTCATATAACCACAGGTGTAAAGACCTTTACAGCTGATCCTATGTTATGATAGGCCATATAATGGAAAGATAAACGTGAAAGCAAACTGTCACAGTATCAAGGGGGACATTATGGGCAGGATGAGGTTTGATCTGAAGCCTAAGACAAAAGGTCAAATAGACAATAGATAAAACATGCTTAATGTTTAATGAAGAAATGAGGACATGGGGACATGTCTTCTGATTGCCACGCCACCAAACCAGGACCTCAGTGATTATAAAAGACCAGCTCCACATCAATCCAGTTTTCAGACTCACCTCCTTGAACTCACTTTGTTACCAGCACCTGCTAAGACACTGCCACCCACATGCTTTGCTTTGCCTAAGACACAGGGACCTTGGGGTTGTAAGATTGAGCGCTTTGGTTCGTCTCAGGGACAGAGGTGCCAGACCTTGGTTATTTGATGTTGATGTTTGGAAATGTTCCAAACATCAATGAGGGGGATAAACTCGAAAAACATGGCTTTTTATATACCTTTGATGGCATAGATAAAACCCGATAATGTAACCTTTTTAGATCAGAATTTCAGGGAATTACAACTCAAAATTAATCACACAAGAGACGGACTTCAGGGTTTATTTTTTACATGAGTGCAACGCATGTTTTGGCAAAACTCCCCAAAATAATTAAACCCAGTAAAAGCATCAATATGTAGCTTATACACTCAACTTTCCACATTGAAAAACACTGATTTAATGTTTTATGTACATAATGCAGCCTTGTGTGTAAAATCCCTCAGTCATCCAGGTTGAATCTATGCCAAATTGTATTTCTCCTTTGACATAATGCAACCTTATTATAAGTAATGTGCATGGTGAAAAAATTAAAATATATATTATAGTACAATGACACAGGTTCTACAGATAACAAAAGCCTAGTTGCAAAAACATGTTGGACAAGTTAAGGTTATAATTTGGTGTTTTGATTCTCCAGATGATTATCCAATCAGAAAGCAGAATGAGCTTCACACACGCCTCTCTCATTTGGGTTGCCAGTTCCAACATTAAAACCAGTTTGAAATAATAAACCTAAAATGACTCTCTCTGGCCTGAGTCCCCACTACCGAAATCCAAACAGCTGCAGCTATGCTAATCAGTGCTAGTGCAGCTTCTGCAGCTCAGGGAGGGAATTCCAGAGGTTCTGATCTTACACATGGCCTGTCCATATATTGAGAAGAAAAAAAAAAAACATGTGAGCTCCACTACCTGCAACTTAAGGCACTGGCAACCCACGTTCATCTGTGATAGTAGTTACGTTTTAAAACCAGTAATTGCGCTGAAAAGACGCCTTCAAAATATTGCAATTTGTTTAAAGCCCATGTTAAGCTAGCTGCTAGCTCGTTGTGGGATGGTTTCTCTTTGAGACTGTAGCGTGAGCCTCAAGTCTTACCCATATTTTTGTCTCCTCGGGATCCGTGCACTTTCGAAAATCACACGGAATAAACGGACTGCGGGTGTCTGTTTATTTGATACGTAGAAAAGAAAACTAACAAAGAAATCAGAGACCGTAGCATCATCCCATCGTCTCTGCATCAGAGGGTCCTGCAGCGTCAGAGCGGCTCGGAAACTGCCTGAACTAAACATTCAGGCCGACATGGACTGTGTGTTTAATAATAATATTATTATTACAGTCTATGCAGGCCGCTCACTAACTCCATTCGATTAACACATATAAATGAAATAGGAAAGCGTTCGATTGCCTAAATGTAATTATATTTTAGTTTATTTGGGGGGAATTAACTCTAAAAGACTAAACCGAAGAAATAATGGTTAGATTTTTTTAGGCAAACGTTATGCTCTCTTGCAAGTATTAGTACAGTATTAAACTATGACATAAGTACATCATGAATTTACATTTTGTATAAACTGAAACATTGATTTAAAACATCTTGATAATAGAAACAAATCCATAGAGTCCCTGTTTAAATGTGCTGAAATGAGATGCAATTGCAATATTGTCATTTCACAGTAGCAAGCTTTTTATTTACACATTTATACTGATGATAAATGTGACTGTAGAACATTTTATTCAGTGCAAATCCATGTGATTTAGTAACAGTTTATTAAATAGATACAAACATAGAACAGTTAACTGAGGTTGCATTCAGCGTATTTGCTCCGAGCTTTTTCAGGTCCGATACCGATTTCGATACTGTGGTTTTAAGTATATGCCGATACCCATTATCAACCGATACCCGTGCAGAAAAAAATAGCATTTATTTCCTTTAAACGAAAATAAAATAAGATCACGCTGATCCAAATGTGTTATGTACCTTCTATTTATTCCTCAAGTAACTACAGAACAACTTAGTGTAAATAAAAATCCAACTTTCTGGATCAACTTCGACCAGTAATTGTCTTATTACATCAGTTTATATGTGCAAACCAAAATATCAGCTGAATCGATATTTGGAAGCCTATAACCAATCTAGCAAATTTTTCAGAGTCTTCACCAATATCTTATCCCAGTATCAGATAGGTACATCACTCCCTATACTTCATTTCCAAAACAAGGGACCAAAACGTTATATTAATCAAAAAGAAAACCCAGAGTGAGACAGTGCGTGGGAGTCTTCTTGAAAGGGTTTGGTTAAACAGAAATGTAGTAAGTATTGTCTCCGGTGTTTATTTTTAGTTCAAAACAATGTAAACTAAATTAGTTTAATAAAGTTACATATTGCTAAATAATCACTATGGTGATCAAGCTCACCTCAAAAAATAATACTTAAAAATAAATAAAGATAAAAAAGTGTGCAGTAACAAACTTTACTTCTGGAACCCGAGAGGTAGGTGGGGTTGTTGAGTTCCATAGGAGGGGGTAAGCGAGGAAGTGGTGGTAGTGCGTGTGTTTGTGCGTTTGTGCGTGTGTGTAATTAAAGGCGTCAGGACTTCGATGGCGTCAAACTTGACCCTTCACCTGACATTTCTTCATCTTGAAACCTGAGAGATGCCTCACCTGTGTTTATCCGATTCAATGTACCATTAGCTAATATATACCTGTGTGGTCCTTCAACTAACCGATATTTTTTGGGTTTGATGGGCAAATTGTTCACTGGTGAGTTAATGTTCAAATGGTCTGAACAGTCCGTTTTCGTAGAGTTCAGATTTTTCCCAGATTTCTTGAGGTGTCTTTGTGGACCTAAAGCCAAGCTGAAGGCTGGTTCATCAGTTTCTTGGACCTCTCCATTTTCCCCAATTCTCACTGTGACAACAGTGCACGGCAAGTCCTCTTCTTCTGATTTGATGAACCCTGGTTCCTCTCTGATGGGGACATCCTCTGGTTCATCTTTAATGTGAAATTCTGTAGAAAAACAAACAGATTAATGAGCCTGATAACACTGTACTATACTGCGCTGTACTGTAAACTGTACCATACTGTAAAACTCCCTTTACAACTCTTATTGGTTTAAATATAACACTACAGTTACTTTTCAAAATAATGATCAGAACCAACTTCTTCATAGTGTGGACATGCTAATTTAGTGAATTAATCATTGGATTTATACCATGCCTTTCACTTTACAGTCTGATGTATTATTCATTCACTCCACACTCGGTGGTGGTAAGCTACAGCTTAACTGGGACACAGCTGCCCTGGGGCAGATTGACAGAAGCAAGGTTGCCAATCTGCTCCACTGGTTCCTCTGACTACCACCATCTTCAAACTAGGCAATGTTGCTGTGTCTTGCCTAAGAAGACACTTCAGCCCTGCTAAGCTTCTTAAATCTGATGGAATCAGGCTTTGGCATGCTGGTATGGTTACGAATACTCTCCTAACCATTTGAAAACTCAGAATGTATTAATTTTGGCAGTGCATGGCTTTTAAATTTTTCAAATAGTTTTACATTGGATCTGGCAAATGAAAATATGGGACACATTCAGCTTTATGAGCTCAAAAGCTAAAACAAATTTGGGCCTGATTTGCATTTTGATGGGAGACCATTGGGTATTCCAGGTGCCATAGTGGGCTGTCAGAGGTTCAAGTACATAATGGTGTAAGAGTGGGTAGTGTTGTGTTGTGATCCCGTCAGATCTCAGAAGCTCAGCAGGCCTAGGCTTGGTTAGTACTTGGATGGGAGACCACTGGAAAAATCAGATACCAGGGGGGCGCCAGTCGCAAAACTGTTGTTGTGTCCTTAGGCAAGGCACTTCACCCACCTTGCCTAATATGAAAGTGGTGTGTGCGTGAGTGATGGTGGTGGTGGTTGGAGGGGCTGATGGCGCAAATTGGCAGCCACGCTTCCATCAGTCTGCCCCAGGGCAGCTCTGGCTCCAATAATAGATTACCAACACTGGGTATGGAGTGAATGAATAATGCTCTGTAATGTGTCATTGTGACATACATCTGTGGAAAAGTAACCACCATCACTGGATTGTGGTGATTTTAACTAGCTCCAGGGTTTTCTCTAAAGCTGTTTTATTTATTTTTTATTTAATAAGCAAAGCCTGCTCTCCTCTAGAGATAATGTTTAGGAAATTATTATTACCATGATAAATCCAGGCTTAATGAATTAATTTTAAAACTAAACTTTTTACTTAAGGTTATGTCCCACCTTCAGCACTGTCAGTCTCTTCTGAAGACACCTCTCTGAGTTTGGAATTTGGTTTGGTGTAGTCTACGCTGGGACCATCATCCACCTGCAAATATACTCATTTAAAACCTTAAAATGATATTACTTTACATAATATTTTTTTATTTTGTAGTTATTCCATATATTAATGTATATAGTGTTTATGTTTGTATGGTATATTTATGACTTATGATCTACACTGTACTCGACTCTCATGTCAAACACACTATACTACACACTAAACTAGACTACATTACAAAAATATTTACATGTTGAAACATTTAAAATTGTCGATCTGTTATTTACTTGTTTCATTTGAAAAACTCACTTTGACTCCTTTTATGGCCATCATCTTTTTGATCTTCCTCCTCATAGCTGAAACACACAAACACATCACTTCAGAAAATCATCAGGTTTCAATGCTCTGTTCCCTTCAATTTTCAGTTTTCAGGCCCCTCAGATGAATTCAAACTACAATCAAAACTCTTCATCTTTGGTCCCAAATCACCCCTTCTCTTCTTCACTTTCTACATACACAGCCACAATCTTCTCTCACATTAGAAACCTTGGATTTGGGTTTATACATATTTCAGTTTAAAGTTTAGCTATTATTACATACTTTGTTTTAATATTTCATAGGATATCTGTGTTTTATTTTCAACAAGTGAATTTCTCCCCTTGTTAATTTCCTTTCACACTTTTATAAAAGAGTCAGGAGCCTGTTTTTATTCCTCAGACCATTTAAGATGGTTTATCATTATCAAGTACACCTCTAACATGTGACTATCAAAGTTTGTTCAGTAACCCTTGATACAGATAGACCCCACTCGGCCTTAATCACTTCCTTGTGCTTAGACCTGTTCAGAGCAGGAAAAGAGGGGTGGGGCCTGTCTCTTCCGCTTGCAGACCACAGCCTGTAAAATGTGAAACTAACACAGTCACTCACACTGAGTTGAGAAAATGGCACAGAAAGCTCTATATGAGGAAACCATCACATGTTCCATCTGTTTGGAAATAATGAAGGATCCGGTGACTATCCCCTGCGGACACAGCTACTGCAGGGACTGTATCCAAACTCACTGGGACCAGAAGCAAAGGTACAGTTGTCCACAATGCAGAGAGTGTTTTGTCCTCAGGCCTATCCTTGTCAAGAGCACAGTGTTAGCTAATATAGTGGAGGAGCTGAAGAAGGCAAGGTTAACAGAGCCCCCTGCTCATCACTGCTACGCTGTTCCTGGAGATGTGAGTTGTGATGTGTGCACTGGGAGGAAGCTGAAGGCTGTCAGCTCCTGTCTGCAGTGTGTGGTCTCTTATTGTGAGACTCACCTCCAGCCTCATCGTGATGTGGAAGTACTACAGAAACACCAGCTGGTTGCACCCTCTGACAAACTCCAGGAAAACCTCTGCTCTCTACATAACGAGGTGAAGAAGTTGTTCTGCTGCACAGATCAGCAGCTCATCTGCTCACTCTGCTCTGTGGATCAGCATAAGGGCCATGAGACAGTGTCCAGTGCAGTAGAGAGGGACCAGAGGCAGACACAGCTCAAGTCTCTGCTACTCCAGAGCCTCCAGGACAAAGAGACAGACCTGAAGAAGCTTCAACAGGATGCCCAGGACATCAGCCACTCTGCCCAGACGGCGCTGCAGCAAAGTGGGGATATGTTCACTCACATGGTCCTTCTCCTGGAGGAAAGACGATCTGAAGTGGAGCAGCAAATCGAGTCTGAGCACAAAACCAAACTGAGTCAAGTCCAAGACCTCCAAGACCAAGTGCAGCGGGTCATCTATGAGCTGAAGAGGACCATTTCTGAGGTGGACACACTGTCCCTGACTCCAGATCACAACCAGTTTATACTGCGCTGTCCCGCACTGTCTACACTCACAACATGGACAGAGTCCATGGTCCAGACCGAAATAAGGGGGGACTATGAGGATATGATGAGAGCTGTCTCAGTTCTCAGAGACAAACTGCAGTTCACTCTGAGAGAGTTTAAACTGCCTGAATTGGAGCCATGCACCAGAGAGCACTTCATCCGTTATGCACAAGGCATTACAATGGACCCCAAAACTGCTCACGCAAAACTGTCTCTATCTGATCAAAACAGAACAGTCACACATGTGGATAAAGATCTCGGATATCCTGATGACCCGGAGAGGTTTGGTAGGTGGTGCCAGGTCATGAGCAGAGAGAGTCTGACAGGCCGATGTTACTGGGAGGTGGAGTGGAGCGCAGACTGTGGTGTTCGTATAGCAGTGTCCTACAGAGACATTAAGAGGCAAGGGAACTTCACTGAATGTGTATTTGGGAACAATGATAAATCCTGGGCCTTATACTGCGAGAAAGGCAGATACTTGTTTTGGTTCCACCATGTCAAGTCTATGGTCTCAGGTCCATTTTCCTCCAGAATCGGGGTTTACCTGGACCACAGCGCTGGGACTCTTTCCTTTTATAGTGTTAACGGTCAGAGCATGAGCCTCCTCCACAGAGTCCACACAACCTTCACGCAGCCTCTGTTCGCTGGACTCCGATTTAATAAATCTGGAGACACTGCCCATTTCATTAAACTCAAATGAAATGTTTTTGTCTGTTCTGCTAATGTTTGAGGTATGTAGACAATGAGTGTTTTTGGAGATTAATTAAAAATGTAAATATTATGTTTTATTATTATTATGTAAGTTAATTTTATCATGTTTTTAATAGTAATAATCATTCAACAACAACCACTTCTAATGTTAACACAATATAATATTATAAACTGAGGAGGACTATCGATAGTATTTGCTTAGATTCCAGTGTTTTGATCGAGTTCCTCTGACATGACTCACCTGATCAGACTTTTAAAGTATTAGAACATTCCCTGTCATAGAAAACATAATCAAAACTAAACTATAGTAGGAATGGCAAAAGGAGGAATTCAGTGTGTCAGCTGGATAAAAAGTTTATTTGGTCAAATATGTTTTGCAGCTCATCCAAGCTGCTTCTTTAGCTCTGGTCAATAGAAGGAGAGTTCAGTATGTTGTATGCCGCTATGTCTGGAATGTTTCACAGTATGGTATTAGCTCGGAGCAGAGCCACTGCTTCTCCAAGTAGCCAACTAAGGTGGATCGGGCATCTGTTTCGGATGCCTCCTGGGTGCCTTCCTCTGTGTTCTGGGCATGTCCCACAGGAAGGAGGCTCCGGGGAAGACCCAAGACACGCTGGAGGGACTTTGTCTCTCGGCTGGCCTGGGAATGAGCTGGAGGATGTGTCTGGGATGAAGGGTTAGGAAGTCTCAGAGTCCCTGCTTAGACTGCTGCCCCCATGATCCGGCCCCGGATAAGCGGAAGAAAATGGATGGATGGACGGTATTAAACATCTCTTTATGAAGACCAAACCAGATCAAGTTACAGCTCAGATCTGTGGAGAGGCTACTCACAGTCAGAATGCTTGTTTGTCTCTTTATTTTTGAGCTGTAAAACCGCTTGTAATTGAATAAATATAAGGCAGAGCTGTTTAATGTCATACTGTGGAACATTCCAGGCAGAGCAATGACATACCCATAGAAACAGGCAGAGGATGAACCCACAAGCAAAAAGTTACATAGTGCACCTTTAAACTGTTGGGATTTTTTTTCCTCACCTTTATTTAAGCGCCGGTCAAAGGACAACATTTTGTAAACTCTAAAAGCGTTGGAGCCCCTCTTTATGGTCTTGTTCTTAACCTCCACGATGTCCGGTAAACTGTTCAGAGCGCAGCGGAAATTACTCTTCCACACTCTTGGGTTGGGACGCTCCTCTCCGGGATGATATTTACCTGGACAATAGAAAAAAACAACACAGGGACCATCATGGATACATTTTACAGGAGGTAAATGAAATGTTTTGGAACAGTTAAAGTAATGATGATTTGATGATTTTCAAAATTTTACTTTATTTGGTGGGGTAATACTTGTGTAAATAAATAAATAAATAATAATAAATAAATTATAGTTCCACACCAAGCAAGAAGTAATTTGCCAAGAAAAGTTGTAAAATATATTGAAAAATTAAACAGGAAGTGCAGAGTTCTATTTTAGAGCGTCCATAAAATTCAACAAAACAAAGACAATTCTTTACACTTTAAAGGTGCACTGTGTAACTTTTCAGTTGAGGGTCCATCACCTTCTTGTTTCTATGGATACGTCATTTCTCTGCTTAGAATGTTTCACAATATGACATTTAACAGCTCTAGCTTACATTTATTCAATTACAGGTGGTTTTATAGCTCAAAAATACCTAGAAAAACTGCATTCTGATTGTGAGTGGGGTTGCCTCTCCACAGATCTGACCTGTAACTTGGTCTGGTTTGGTTTCCATAAAGATAGAAAGTTTTAATGCATTGCTGTGAAACATTTCAGACAACATAATAACATCTCCATGGAAACAAGCATTTGACAGACACCCCACCAGAAAAGTTACACAATGCACCTTTAAGAAATGGAATTGACATGTATGTTTTGTTTAAGTTGTTGTTGTTGTTGTTGTAGTAGTAGTAATTAACCTGTATTAGCCTAGTTCGAAATGCTGTGTATAGAATCATACCAGTGTGAATGGCCCATCTCATGAACAGGAGAGTGTCTTTCTCCAAATCCCAGTGTTGGTGAGAACCATGAAGCCACGGGATCTGGAATATTCGCTCCTCCTAAAAAAATAACAATAAAAAAACTGAAAGTGAATGGTTAAACAATTTTTTCTGTTGACATTTCTAAAATACATATTTAATCAGCTAAAGATACAAATATGTGAACTAAAATCTTCCAGATTTATAAATAAAGTGCACAATTCATTAAAATCAAAAATATTTGACATTTTGATTTAATAATGTAGGTGTCATTATTATAAAACTTCTTTTGGCAAGCATTTGAGTGTGTGAATAGACCAGATAATGACTTGTTGTTGTTGTTGTTGTTAAAATAGTCTATGATTATTTTTATTAGACAAGTTCTGCTTATTCTGATGAATTGTTGTAGTCCTACATAGAATTGAGAAAAATGTGTTACTGAACCCTACAAATCTAGTAAAATCTATTGGTTTTGTTTATACCGACTTTATTGACCCATTTAAGTCCAGGTATTTCACAAGAGTTGATCTGCTCTTCCAGCCATGGCCTCAACCGCAATCGGTCCACTGGCATGGTGTCCTGGACAGAAACAAAACAGTAACACATAACATAAACCAAATTTTATTTAACAGATGCACATGGGCTAGAGTGGTGCAGATGATTCAATTTTTATTTGAAATAGTCAATGACATGTTTATATCAAGAGAAAAAGTCCAAAAGTCAATCCTCTGTCAGTAAAATCATGTGCTTTAGAGCAGAGTTTAGACTTCGGAGGGGTCATTTTCTTGTGTTAAGTGGATCTGATTGTCATTTAATCAGATCATTACTATCATTACTCATTTAATTTATACAAAATAAAATATTTAAATTGTGACTGGCCAATAGGGGGAAAATAACAATGGTGATACAGCTTTTGTCCTAACTAAGACTGTGATAATTAAGTTCTCTTATGTTAATTATTTATTACTAACTAGAACGCCGTTACCTCATCAAAAACATACCCGGAGATTTGTTTTATTTCAGTCACACATGTTTGAGTAATTCTTTATTATTAGTCTGTCTACCTCCCCAAAGCTCAAAATGCTCTATTCCAACTTGTGATGTCATGAAGCGGTAGTTTTTAAGTTACTCCTGCTATTGGTTAACTTCCTACTTTTTAACTTTAGTATGAGTGGCAAGCCCAGGGCTGAAATTATCCAAATTATTCTAGTATGGTGTATGGAGTTTAAAACCCCACCAGTTCCACATGCTACAACAGTGTTTTTCTGTTTGAGAGAACTCAGCCTAAATGTGCAGAATGTGTATATTAAACATGTATGAACACAACTCCAGGTATGTTTTTGATGAAGAAACATTATAACACAAATCAGAACATAGTATAATAAGAGCCCCTTAATTACAAACCCGGTTGGTTAATTAGTGGCATGAAAGTATGAATTACAAACCGTTACATATAAGGATGTCATGCTAAGTTGAACTGTGCCTGTCTCCTCCATTGTTGTGTCACTATTCTCCGTTGTGCTGTCACTGTCACCATCAGTAGCTGCAGATGATGTGTCCAGCAACATGACCCCTTTTCTCTCTTTTCTGCGGTTACTGGAGCAGTTTTCACTAGTTTCTCCCAGGTTTCCAGACTCTACGAGTGGAAATATTGTAGGCACAGCTCCACTTTTCAGCCTTCTTTTATATGAAGCGCCTGTGAGCTCTTTGAGGAGCCGTTGACGACATGAATCTTCAAATGAGTCCTCGGTGAAATGGCGGGAGCACAGGCGTGGGTCTTTAGGCAGACGTTCTCTTCCACACGCACTTTCCCAAACTTTTCTCAATGCCCCATCACGAGGAAAAATGTGCAGGCTCACATCGCTTCCTTTGTTCCCTTTCGACTGGAAATTGCACCCTATAGCCGCACAGTGTGGCATTTTTACTTAGTGTTGGTGAAAACTTTAGCTGTATGCTAATTTGCGTTGCCCACCGCTCACGACTCGACTGCAACCATTTCACGTCATAATCCCAGAATGCATTGCACACGTTCAAACAACAGCTAAAACATGGCGACCCTAATTTATAGAAAATGTAGCAAACATCAACATGCACCACAATCAGAAGATAAACTAATCCCAACCATCGGGGTATACTACAAAGCATGTAGGGTGCCTAAACTTGAGTCATTAAACCCTGGATTTCCTGTATCAGTTTTCAGCGTGGTCACATCACTATAGTAACAAAGGCAGAGAGCTAACTTGGTCTGGATCAAGAGTCGCAATGTCGAGTTTATGCTTCGATTAGGTCTACCCACAAATTGCACGTTATTTACCACGATATACTTTAAGTGTTTGTGCAGTGGTTATACAGTGCTGTAAACCTTCTCAAATACATAATCACTTAGAAATATGAGCGGTTAGGTGGAGGTTTGGACTCACCGATGCTCAAAGGTGCAGCTTTCGCCAGAGAGCGGCGCACTTCCACAGCTCTTCGGATGAAGTATAAATACAGCTAGAGGACCCTTGAATACTGTTGTCGCGGTTTGCTTTTCTTTCCCATGTTCCAAGCAACGTTTTCTAAAAACCCAAACTCCTCATAAGAAGGCATTTAAAGGGTGGTTTCTGAAGATATGCCAATTTTGTCTGTTTCAGTGCCTTGTACGATAACCACGTGAGACTAAACCAACCAAAACAATCCATGTGCTAACATTTTAGCCTCAATGCTAAACGGGTCCTGCAACAGCTTTCTAAAGAAACTGCCTGAATAAAAATTTTAAACTATAAAAAATATAATAATAATAATAATAATAATAATAATAATAATAATAATAATAATAATAATAAAATACAAACATTATATCAGATTTCGTTTATTAATAGCCATTTCCAAATATAACTGAATAGTGAATTATAAAAAAGTGTGTTGTTATTATTATTATTATTATTATTATTATTATTATTATTATTATTATTATTATTATTATTATTATTATTAATTGTTATATTGGTGCTAATTTGAGACTTTGTATAATAATATCCAGAAAGTCTCAAATTAGCAACAATATTAAAATAAATAAATAATAAATAAATAAATAAATAAACCCAAACTTTTTATAATTCACTATTCAGTTATATTTTGGAATATTAATCTATTGTAATTATAATAGCACGTTACCATAGAGACAGGATAGTTACCTTTTTAAAATGTCATAGGCATAAAAATACAATAATAGCTAGAAAACATTAATTAGGCGGCATTTTTTTTTCTTTATTTTTTTTCATAAAATGTTTTCTGTCATATTTTATCATTTCTTTGTCTTGACTTTAAGCATTTGGTTTTTGCTACTGTATTTTCCAATCCACTTGAGGGCGGTAACGTTACAGCAGTAGGTAAGTTTGTACCCGCCGCAGTCTGGACCATTAAAGAAGACAGTCTCACACGGAAGAGCCACTGCAGGCATGATGTTTTCCTCTAGATGATGTTTTTGTGTCTTTTTTATGCATTTCACCGGGAGTTAGAACCAGCGGTGAACCTACGGGCCGCGTAATTGCACGGGAAGAATCCGGGGAACAGTGCGTCTTGGTCGGTCTGTGCAGTCAACGGGCGATGGGGGACAGTCCAGCCCCGAGAGAAGCAGCCCGTCCGCGGAGGGAGTCCTACGGCGGAATGGATCAAAACCAGCAGAGACATGACAAGGACGTTTACTGGGTTCGGAGCTACTGTGAGGACCACGGAGCTCCGGAGAGGTTGACCGGAGAGGGTGCGCGGGTTGCGGATAGAAGACTCTCCGCGCCTCCACAGGTCGTCCACCAGCGCCACATGCCCGTAGGAACACAGAAATTTCACATCCCGAGGAAAACTAAAGAGAAACTAGGTGAGTTGCGTACACTTTATACTCAAAACACTGAAATACATGCTTCAAATGTAAGCTGCAGTGTTTCTCATTAATAGAGGAGACTGTGGTCACCCTCCATAATATTCACACCATAGTCTAAAAAATGTCACCAAAAAATGTTAAAACAAATTATACTTTATGCTTGTAGTGTTATCATATATGTATAGAAATAACCATTTTTAATCTGTAACCAGTGTTTTTGATCAGTGGGGGAAATAGATGACAAATACACCAAAATATTATATTAAATAAAATGATTAAAATATGAATCGCTTATGCCACCATAGTCTAACCTGTGGGGTGGGAAACACAGTATTTTACTGCACTGCTTATTTTGTGAAGACATGGTAACCTTTCCTGATCTTAAGGGTTTACTGTGTAACATTTTAATACAGTCACTTTTTCGTTTGTGGTATTCAGAATACAGTTACATTTCTAAAGAATACAATGATGCGGGCCATGTTTGTTTTTGACTCAGACAGACCAGATGTCTCTCTCATTGGTTCTCCCACTGAAATTAGGGAGACAGGATACGGTTCCAGAAGTTTTGGCAAAGTGTGTGGTTCTGGTTAGCCAGGCAGTTTATTTATTGCAGCTCAGTTTAATAATGGTCACTGTAGAGCTCCCTAGGTCAAAAAGGTCAAAAACCTAACAAAAGGAGATACATGGTGCTTTGTTTGAATGAAGACAGCACTGCTTGAATTTGATTGCTTCTGTCTTATGGGTTTGTAGTGATAAATGCTGTAAAGGCTTTAAAATCACCACTATAGAAATATATTTGCTTATTATACTTATTATGCAGCGAGCAGTGATGAGTTTATAGTTAGTTACCAGTAACAATTTCAGGGAAGTTATCAAAATATTGACAGGGTTTAACAGACAATGACTGCTCTTGATTCAAAAATACTCTCACTAATACTAATAATCATCTATGGAAACAAAAACATCTCAATCTCCACCAGAAATCTTTTTTTGGGAAGTGAAATCTGTTCTTAGTTTAAATGTTCCTCTGGAGGATCGACCCACCTGTAGCAGCTGCTCTCTTCTGGGCCCCAGGGACAAGGTTCATACTACAGTCCCAAAACCAAACTCTCCTCCAGGCCCCAGGGACAAGGTTCATACAACACTCCCAAACCAAACACTAAGATGAGACACTTCCAAATAAGATAACCTCAGAGTTTACAGACAGAGACAGGGGAAGAACAGATAGATCCAGCATCCAGATACACTGTGTTCAAAAATACTATTGATTGCTATGAACTAATATCAACACTAGGGCTACAACTAGCAATTATTTTAGTAGTCAACTAGTCAAATGATTATTTATTACTATTTACATTGACACTTTTTAAATCAACCAAAGGTTGAAATATGCTAAGTTAAGGTTTCCAGATAGAGAATTATTCAGAAAATTGAATATTTAAAATCAGGGTCACAGTGTCAAATGTAAACAATTATGAACATTGTTAAGTTGTGACTGATTCTGTTGTGTTTGTCCAGCCCTGTTCCAGACATTGTCATGTGAGTCCAGAGAGTATGAGGACATGCTCACGGTTCTGACCTCTGGGTACCTGGACTCTGCCTCCGCTGGTTCCTTTAGCTACAGCAGACCACGCCTAGTCCACAGCGAGGCTCTAGAGAAGGAGGTACACTCACTGTGTCTCACAGTGTTTTTCTTTTTTTTTGTACTTCCTCAGTCACACTAGATTTAGTTCTGTGACTTTTGGGTTGGTTCTTTTTCACCTGTACCTGTTGTGGAAAATTATATTGATGATAATCATTTATGAATCCTTGGTGAGTTATGCAGTACAAAAATGTCTGGTCTCGGTCTCTGACTGACTGACTGACACAGACCAAATGTGTTTACACAGAGACATATCATAAGAATTTGTTTTTCATAACATGAATACACATACCATGAGCCACATGAGAGGCCATCAGCTGACCGCTGAACTCATTTCCATGATAACGAACTCCAAGCAGACAGAGATCCGTGAATATACACACACACACGTGTTCAGTTCCCTGGTGTTAATTCTTTCATATGTGGCAAAATTCACTGGAGAAAAGGCACAGGGGCTCACCTGCGCAGACTGACCCAGGCTCACATGTGCAGACAGACACAGGCTAATGTGCGCAGACAGGTGAGGGCTCACCTGTGCAAACAAACTCAGGCTCACTTGCACAGACAGAGACAGGAGAAGAGTTGCTGAGTTGCTGACATTGTGAACCAATTCCAAACACTTTTAAGACTGAAAACAAAAAATGGGACCATCTGCGGACATCGTTGCTCTATGAGAAACTTAGATTATTGTCACTGATATTGAAAATATGTAAATGTTTTAATGGCCTTTCCTCTTGTTTCAGTTTGTGGAGAAGCGAAAGGAGATGAAGGCTGATGGGAGGACAGAGAAGGAGCTGGAGGAAAGCTACTGCTTCCTGCTGTGACTCCTCTACGGTAAAACAACCAAAGACCTGTGTGAACACTTCATACATACACTTCATATCTGTGATAATACATTCTCTCCCTGTTACTTTCTGTTCTTATAGATGAGAAAAATTAGGCAAGTTTGTGTTAGGCAAGTGTCAAAAATAAATGCAGTGAATATTTTGTTATCTATTTTTGATCCAAGTCATTTTTTGAAAAGAAGAAATATGAAGATACAATAAACCTGTATTTGTCCCACTATGGAGAAATTGCAGTGTTGCAACACAAAGGTCAAGGAGGGCAGGAAAATAGGAATATGTTATCAAGATCATGAGGAATGATCCCACAAAGATTTGTAATAGACAAAAACACAACACCGTCAGCAGAGTAAAGAATTCTCGCTTGTGTGAAGTTATCACTATGTTTTTAAACTCTCTACTTCCTTTTTGTAAACTGCTTTTTTATTGGTGTATAACTATAATTTATGTTTACAACAGATATTAGCCCACCAATAACTCTAAATTTTTTTTATTGTCATACGTACTTTAAAATTTTATCTCATCTCGCAACCTAAAAGGTCGGGATTGAAGGATAATTTGACATCTTTTTATATGAATCTACATTTTTCTGTTTCATAATTGTATAGTGTCTGCATATGTATGTTAACAGTGTAAACATATTCTCATAGCTGCAGACGCTGTGTGAGAAAGGCCTGTTCGTGGGTCAGAGCAGGGTCACAGCCCTCGGAAACCCACAAAAAGGTACGATCTTTGAAACCTGATTTTAAAGAAAACTTTTGCAATTTATGTTTTGATTATAGATTTCTGTTTAAAATTCACATTTTAAACACATCCATGAGCGTTAACGTTCAAGAGAAGATTGGCACATGAACTGCAAAGCTAATTAATACAAGAATCTTATGCATTTCAACATCTAAAATACAGAGTTACCAGGTTTTGTACATTAGTGAGACAGGGTATTTAGTTGTTTTTAGAGAAATGCTTCTTGAATAATTGCAGTCTGTGGCCATTGTAATTATGCAGCTCTGTTATCCAGAAGAGAGAGATTATATATATGTATCTGTGTAGCAAACCTTTCCATATTTAAAACAACACATTGCACTTTTCAGAGTTAATTAAGTTAGTTTTAGTTATTCTACATTAAGTTATTGTGAGTGACCTAAAGCGCTGTGTGTCTTTGGTCAGGAGTTTACCTGTCCAGGTGTTCAGACCTCCTGCAGCTCAACCCCTTCACTCCAGGAGCCAGCGGAGAAATCATCATCTTCAAAGTCATCAAGGTAAGCGCTCACAAGATACACACATAATGTCAAGTTCAGTTATTTTATTTTCTATATTTTGTATTACGATCTTGGTTTATTTGTCAGGCACAAGTATGTTCCATGAGCTCAACATTTTAGTTGAGACTAATTTTCACTGTCTGTCTATAGTTAGTCTTTTACATAAAACATAACATTAACATGACACACCATAAAAGACAGAAATTTCCCATCACATTTTATCTGCACTATCCTGTTTTTAAACTGAGTGTTGTATTTTCTTAGGGGAAGGTTAAGAGTATCTATGAAAACATGAAGAACCTCCTGGACCCCACACCACGTTTCGACTCTCATCTGTCCAAAAACATCAGTAAAGTCACGTCTGTCATGTCGTACAGAGCCTTCGAACTAACGCAGGTCAGTCTGTGCCTGCTCTGCCCAAATGAGCTTGCATTCATAATGGGTTATGCCTGTATACAAAATGCAGTGACAAGAAAGCAGGATTAAATCATAAAAAGAGAAGGCCGCACCTTCTTGTCAAAGCCTGATTTCTTCAAATCTATGAAGCTAAGCAGGGCCAGGCCTGGTTAGTACTTTGATGGGAGTTCACTGAAAATGTCAGCTGCCAGTGACTGCATCTGTTAAAGTTTGCTAAACAATAAATTACTTTATAAAGTCACTTTTTTTGTTCTATACCAGTCTTTTGATCTGCCACAATAATGTAATAATGAATTTAAATGAAAAGAGATTAATTAGATAAATGAATTACAGATCATAATTAATTAATCTCAATTAAATTAATTAATTATATATATTATATATATATATATATATATATATATATATATATATATATATATATATATATATATATATATATATATATATATATATATATATATATATATATATATATATATATATATATATATATATATATATATATATATATATATACACATATATATATATATACTCGCATTAGAAAATGTTAAAATCGATTATTAAAATTGCACACACACTGAAACATGAAACAGGCCGAGTAATACCCCCATTAATATTTTGTATTAAATTCTAATACATTATTTTCTTTTCCTATTTCAGCATTATTTCTACGAGTACTCCTTTGATGAGCTGAGGGAGCGCCCCCGGCAGGTCTGTCCCTACGCTGTGATCTCTTTTCAGTTTAAAGACAAAAACACCCTCCTCACTAGCAAGCCCATGGCCCCTCTCAGGTACAAGCACAAACACAAACATTTAACTAATACTGAGATCAATTTAAAACTCTGATACAAGTGATAAGTTACAACTAACACTTCCTCTGTTTTTCACAGATTGAACAGTCAGTCATCAGGCAAAAGCCAAGGTAAGCCTCATACACTGTATTTAGTGTTGAATTGTTACTACCTAGAGGTGGGGGGAGTGAAAAATGTATTGCAAATGATGTATCTATCTATCTCTCTATCTATCTAGAGACATAGAGAGAGAGATGTTTTTTTTTTCAAATCTCTAAAACATCTGTTGCAATACAGTATACAGTCCCCTCCAAAAGTATTAGAACAGCAGGGCAAATTCTCTTATTTTTATTGTTTACTGAAGACATTTGGGCTGAAGATCAAAAGAAGAGTATGAGACAAGAGTTCAGAATGTCAGCTTTAATTCCCTGGTATTTACATTTAGATGTGATAAACAACTTAGGATATATCACAGTTTGTATTACACCACAGTATTTTTAGGTCAGCAAAAGTAATGGAACAAAAAATCTTAAAGTAAATAAAATGTAATATGTGGTGGCAAAACCCTAACTTGCAATAACTGCCTTAAGCCTGAGACCCACCGACATCACCAAACTGTTGCACTCTTCAGTTTCGGTGCTGTTCCAGGCTTTTACCGCAGCTTCCTTACAGGCTTGTTTGTTCCGGGGGGGTTCTCCCTTCACTCTCTTCTTCAGGAGGTGAAATGCATGTTCTATCGGGTTAAGGTCAGGTGACTGACTTGGCCAGTCTAAAACCTTACAGTTTTTTCCCCTGATGAAGTCCTTTGTTTTGTTGGCAGTGCGCTTGGGGTCATTGTCCTGCTGCATGATAAAATTCCTCCCAATTAGTTTGGATGCATTTCTCCGTATGTTGGGAAACTAAATATTTCTGTACACTTCTGAATTCATTCTGCTGCTACTATCATCAGTTACATCATCAATAAAAATGAATGAGCCTGTTCCAGAAGCAGCCATGCACGCCCAAGCCATGACATTACCTCCACCATGCTTCACAGATGAACTTGTGCTTCAGATCATGAGCAGTTCCTTTCTTCCTCCACACTTTGGCCTTTCAATCACTTTAGTAGAGATCAGTCTTGGTCTTGGTCAGAACACCAGTAGCTTCTTTCTTTTGCAGGACATTCCAAATAGTTGTGTTTGCTATGTCCAATGTTTGTCCAATGGCTCTGACTGATTTTCCATCTTTTCTCAGTTTCAAAATGGCTTGTTTTTCTCCCATAGACAGCCTTTTGGTCTTCATTTTGGTTTATGAAATACAGTTTTGCAGCCAAGTAGTAGGCTAGTTATGCAGAGCCATTTAATGCTTGAATGATCAATCTTAAAGGCAACACCTGGCAACACCTGTCAGTCACGTGTTCCAATAGTTTTGCTCACTTGAAAAATGGGTGGAGTTGTGTTTTGTTTCATTCACTCATGTTTAACACACAAACCCTGCATATTTAGGCTTAGTTTTTCTCTCAAACTGAAAACACTCTGTTCTACCTTGTGATGTCATGTGGTAATACAGGGGCCGCTGTAGTTTTAAACTTTTGGGCTTTGAAGATGTACAGTAGACAGACAAATGATAAAAAGTTACTCAAACGTGTGCATGAAACAGAACACAACTCCAGGTATGATCTTGATGAGGTAACAACATTATACCATAAATAAAAGACACAGAATCACCTTTAATCACAACTTTAACCATCTCTCCGAAGTGGCAGATTATCACTAGGTCTATTATATTAATGCAGTCTCCCCCTCCTGATCCTGTTGTCCTTCACAGAGCACGCTCAGTTCACTGTCTGGAGTGGGGACCTGGTCAAAGACAACAAAGTGCTTTTCCAGATTTCACTGCAGTCTTCGTCTCCTCCTTTTCTACCCCACAAGCTGTGAGTAAAAATAAACCACACAGGAATAGTCAATGTGAGAGCTGTTCAGAAATACAAACCAGCTGACAGTAAAATTTCAAATATACCGGAAGTAGAGGAAAATATTTAGTTGTTTCTTGTGTTCTGTAGCTGTTAGGGTTGTCAAAAGTATAGGACACTACATCTCCATGAAGAAAAGCATTTGACGGACCCTCCATCAGAAAAGTTACGCAACACTAGGGCTGGGTATCATAAAGAAGTGGCCGATACGATACATACCTCAAGACAAAGGCCACAATACGATACATATCTCGATACAGTGTGCTTTCGATTCAATATGATTCGATACAATATATTTCAAATTGACTTGATACGGTTCAATAAAAAATAACTGCTAAATCATGGCTGTGATACTAAAAGTCTTTGTTAAACCACTTCTTGTGCAAAGTTCATATGAAATACAAGCTGTTTAATCCTCAAAACAGTGAAAATGTCAAATGTGTCACATAAACGAGTTTCCTTCCTCTAAACAAACAACAAAACTGTAGCTCTGTAACAAAATAATTTAGCAAAATACCCCCAAAAAATACTCTTGGTGATATATCGATACAGCAGCCCACAATAACGATACTATATCATCACATTAAACGATACGATATATCGATATTTCGGTATTTTTGCACACCCCTGTGCAACACATCTTTAAAATATTAATCGATGCTAAAACTAGTATGGAAACTAGATACTCATTTGATCAGGTATTGATACTAAAAAAGTCACATTCACAGAACATAAATGAACCTTTCCTGAATAGCTTTGATGATCTTGAGCTGTATCAGAACAAGTATAAGACCACTTAGACTAGTATTACGCCCATGGACCACTATGGAGCCTGCCTGGACCACTGAGGGATTATAGAGTACTGAGGTTCCAGCCTATTGCTCAGTATCAAAATAGGAATGATCTGATATGGATTTTATTTTGAAATGATATCTGGTATTTGATTTGCTGTGGTGGCCGATACTCACTGATACCATCTTAAGAGCAAGGCCCACAATGAATGTTAAGTTGTAATACATTTGACAAATTTATTTTTTTTTGCTTGTGTAGAATTATGTAAACAAACAGCCATATAAAGTAATTTGATACATGATGCATTTTTTTTTCTGAGAGTTTTTAACATCGGGTCAGTATTGATCACCGATAATTGATAACCGATCCCTATCTACCAGTGTATGCATGTTTTTTAGTATTCATCTTGTGTGCCAAATCTTTAAACATGTTTTTGTTCCAGACCTGAGAGGCTGGAAATGAAGTGGGCGATGACATGGGACCAGGCCACAAGACGTCTCCCTCAAAGTTTATTTTCCTACAATCTTTACAACAACAGCAGTCAAGAAGGTGAGAGGAATCATTAACATTATCTGTGGAACATATACAATCCACTGTGTAAAAAATCCCAGTATTGATCAATCACTGTTTTTAATTAGATTTTGAAATTGAAATTTAAAATTTATTAGAAATAAGTAAAAATGCATTTCAATATTTAATTTTTAATCATTGCCCAGTCTTCCCCCAAAGTCTGAACTCAAAGTCACATGTACTACTGTTATGTGTAAAAGGGGGTAGATTCAAATAGGGTCAGTCCATATGAAATTAACTGTTTTCAAGGAATCTCCCCTATGAGCCAACTTAGATTTGGCTGAATTTTTTTTTTTATTTCTAAAATTTACCAAATGAAAGAATCTCAAATTTTAGCTCAATCCCTTGAGTCGCTCATGAGTTATGGCCTGTTGAAATTTTGAGGCCATGCTCACTTTTTCGGAAGCCTTAATTTGTAAGCATGTTCGAGAGACCAGAACTTCATAAAAAATACCTAGGAAGGTGAAAATTTGTATTATAGAGTTTTGGTCATAGATTCTGAATATTGGGTATCTTTATTAAGGGGGGCGCTGTAGGCTGCCGCTCAATTTTTTTTTTCAGTTTTTGAGGTCCAAGATCTATTTACTCCAAGCAGATGTTTACAAACAAACTGTTGAACCTGAATATTTGAGAGAATGACCATTTCTGACAACAATCTCACACTTTTCTGAGCTTTCATGTGGATGGTGTAGAGCCCCCAAATATGGTCACAGACCAGATGTGATATTTTTGGCCCCTTCTTTGGACCCTCAGTTCCCCGTGTGGCACTGTTAGATGTTGATAAAATTTAGTACCAGAGAAACTTTGGCATATTCTGATTAGTTTAAAGTAATAAAAACATCTATTATTAACTTCCTTCATTTCAAATGGAATTTTTGAAAATGGGTCATTTTTGGTGGAGCTTAGGTAGAAAGCTTAAATGACCTTTAATAGTTTAAATGACCTTTAATAGCCTTAAACACTAATTGCTTGTCATGAAGGAAAACAATTGGAGATTATTTGTGGTACAATGTTTGTGATGATTTTGGTGACACAGTAAAAGGCTCAGCTGCAAGGACCAGTCTTCAGACAACTGGCAGCAGAATCTATGACCAAGAATCTACAATAATACAAATTTTCAGCATCCTAGCTCTATTTTTTATGAAGTTCTGGTCTCTCAAACATGCTTATAAATGAAGGCTTCAGAAAAAGTGAGCATGGCCCCAAAATTTCAATGGGCTATAACTCATGAACGACTCAAGGGTTTGAGCTAAAATTTGAGATTCTTTCATTTGGTAATTTTAGAAATTTTTAGAAGTTTTTTCAGCCAAATCTGAGATGGCTCATAGGGGAGGGCAGCTAATTTCATATGGACTGAACAAATAAGCTTTTGCTTCTGTCTCCTCCTTTTGAGAATGGCTGTTTTTCTGTTGTATTTATTTATTTCCTTGTGTCACACTCTATAACCATTTGCTCAAATAAAATAAATGAAATGAAACATGCTTTTCCTAATGGAGGATTAACTGTAGATCTTACCATTAAAAACTTAATCTGATCATGAAGGTTTGAAATGGTTGGACCCTATTCAATTTACCTTCTTTTAATTGCATAGCCCTATTTTTCCACAATAAGAGATTCATTTATTTCTCATTATAGGTGGAAGCTATATATTGAAAAAAATGCTAATTATAATTGTTGTTTTGAAGATATGCAAAAATTTGAATGTCAAATATTATGTCTATAATTTAAATCATTAAACGACTCTGAAAGAGAAACTTGTAATTTTCTAAACAAATATATATAGTGATAGTTCTGCCTGTTCTGGTTCTTTTATGGTACATTTGCGTTTTGTGCAAGACTTGAACCTCAATCAAGACTTTTACAGATCCATGAAATCTAAAAATGGAGATTTTTATTATTGTAGCCCATCTCTATTCTCTTCTGTGTCTCATTTGTGGTTTGGTTTTCTTGTCTTTGCAGTGGCGAAGGACGGGTTTTACTGCAGTTTTCTGGAGGTGGTGGACAAAAATCGCTCTTTGACCAGCGTCACCAAACTGCTTCTGGAGCTGGAGACCAAATCTGTGGTCAGTGATGTCTCTGTGGTCAATTTAAAGCTCCATTATGTAACTTTTCTGGTGGAGGGTTTGCCACTTGCTTGTCCCCATGGAGGTGTTATTGGTTAGTCTGGAATGTTCCACAATATGGCATTAAACTTCTTTCTATCTGTCTCCATAAAGACAAACAAGTGACACCACCAAATTAAGATACAGTTCAGGGGAAAGGCTCACTGTAAAAATGTATCTTTTTCAATATATTTGTATATGGATAAAATAATTCCATACTGTACAACAGTCCAGGCAAATCAGTAACATCTCCACGGAGACAACCAGGTGGTGAAAAGTTACAGAACCTTTAATGACAAATTTTAAAGGCAACTTTTCTGGTCAGTGGGCTATCATTTGCTTGTTTCTATGGATATGCCACTGCTCTGCCTGGAATGTTCCAATTATGACATTAAACAGCTCTAGTTTAAATGTATTCAATTACAGGTTTTATAGCTCAAAAATACCTGACTATGGGTTGCCCCTCCACAGATCTAACCTGTAACTTGGTCTGGTTTGGTCTCCATGATGATAGAAAGGTTGTATACCATAGTGTGAAACATTCCAGACAAAGCATTTGATGAAAAGCATTTGACTGACCCTCTGCAAGAAAAGTTACACAATGCACCTTTTAATATTTAATTAATGTGTATTTTGTGTTTTCAGGTTTTGGTGACACCACTGACAGAGATGGGCTTCCTGTTCATACTCTCCAGTGTTCAGATGGCCTCAACTCACGGTACGACTCAAACATGCACTGGTTCTTTATTATCACAATATCAAGAACCATCTTTAAAACATAATTTGTACAATGACAGGAGTGTGAGATTTGAAATACACTACATGTGTACCAAGTTCCAGATTTGTGCCCCACATGGTCCAGTCTTTGTTAAACTTTTTAGCATGGTTTTCACATAGTTTGTTCTAAGTTCATTTTTCCGAAAAGCAGCTCTATCCATGGCTACAGAATTATGAAAAATTAAGACCCTTACCATAATGATTAACAGCAAACAAAATGCTATACCTGTTTTGTTTGTTTTTTAACAATCAACTGTGCTTAATGTTTTGCATCAGAAACTTACCGAACAAACCCATTTGGTTCTCTCTTTTTTATTATTATTTTTTTTATTACTTTGTTTTCGCACTTTTATTTTTCATTTTTGGGTGTTTTGAACTAAACCCAATCAAAAAACACCACTTTTATACAATGACTGAATAAGCAGCAAATACTGAATGTAATCAAGCTATGAAATTAACAGTTTTACTTGAACTGAAACCCAAGACTTTTTTAATGCACAATTTGTTTTGTAGAAAATATTTAAGTGGATTTGAAATGGGCCCTGCACATGTCACACTTTATAATGTTTTTTTGTTTTAGAACGAGGGGAGAACTGGAAGAGGAGTCTGCAGGCGCTGTTTGTGTTTCCTGAGACCAGATGCTCGAAATCCAGTGAGAAAACCATACTTTCATTTGGTCCTGGTTTAGTTCTAGTGGAGTCCTGACTCTTGTCCCAATTTAGTGAGACACTTGCCTTTTTTGGTCCTTTTTTAGCTGAATATCCATCCATTTTCTTCCACTTATCCGGGGCCAGGTCTTAGGCCTACTTTGATCTTTGCTTTAGACCTGTCCTACAACTGTCATACATAGGGTGTATTGAGACCAGAAAAAGTGCTAAAGTCTGCTTGTTTGATCCGGACTGAGTGTGGACTTTATTTTTTTCACTTGGTTTGGATCATATTCTGACTGCAAGTTTGGCAAGTGAACTATAAAAAGTAAACAAATGCACGTGTATGATGATCAGTGCACACACTGGACAGAAATGGCAGGGGGCAGGGTCAATCAGAGGCCAACACAGCCTTCATCATGTTATGAATAAATAAATGTGAATAAAAGAAGAAGAAAATTATAAAGTAGTTATCCATTATTTATTTGTACTGATCAACAGATACACATCTGGACACAGTTAATGGCATGTAGTTAATGCGTGAGCGTTTAAGTAGAAGCAACGTGGGTCCAAACCGACTGTGTGCAAACTAGGGCTAGTAACACACAGCAACATGTGGTGGGGTCCGCTTGTTTGGTCCGGATCAGAGTGTGCTTGTCTTTATTCACACCTGAAATTAAGTCCGTTTTAATCGGACATGAGTCCATAGGTGTGAATATGCCCATAGGCTAGTTTTGTTGATTTGTATATAAATGTTCTTATTAGAAAATTTACTTTGACCTGTCATGATGAATACTGTATCTATTTATCATTTAACATATGATTTAGATGGAACATATTTTTAGGGTCAGTATTTATTGTGGGTACTTTTTTTCACTTGTGGAGAATTTTTTTTTATTTTTTTGTTCAGTGATGAGATTTGAGCTAAGCAGGGCTGAATAAATCTTCTTTGACTCATTATAAATACAAACTAAATGCAAACATTTTTATTTAATTATAATTAATTCATTTTAAATTGATAATTATATATTTAACTTTATAATGTTTTACATTTAGAATATTTTTTAAGATAATTCTGCTTGTGAGTTATTGGGTTAATGGAAAATTGTAGTTTCAGTATTATCATCATCATATATTGTATATATTTACTTCAGTAATATATTGCTCTTCAAAATGTGCTATCATGACAGACCTACTTAAAAGTACTTGAAAGGCAAAGGTCCAAAACTTTCTTGGTTAGTTTTGTATTGTAAATTATTGCATAAACTTATCTTTCTTCATGGAGACAATCTGATTAAAAAGTAGTTTTTACTTACAACCCTAACCATACTTACTTTCTCTCTTCACGCTCAGCTTCTCTGCCCGTCTCATCTGAGACCTCTCCAGACCTGGTCACTGCTGATTTGGTGATGCCTGGTTTGACCCACTTTGTGCCTGCTCTCCATTTTGCTCTGGGAAAAGCTCGAAGTAACCCCCCTCCAGAGCTGTCGACTGGAGTGGAGCTACATGCCCGGGAATACCTCAGCGGGATCAAGGAAGGAGTGGTAATGGAAACTACAATGAATATTTGAGGCATTGATCTTTACTTGTTTGTACCAAGACACTCCTTAGACAAAATGCACTTGTTATTAGGCCTCTCATGATAAAAGAAAAAAACATCTACTGAGATAAACAATATTATTATATGCCACTGATACAATAAAAAAACAATAATGCAGGATAATGCCAGTAAACCATTTTTTATTTGACCATATCATCACGAGGCTTGGGCTGCAACCAGTAAATAAAATAATTAAGCAATACAAAGCCACAGAAGTACCTTTTTAATCCTCTGCAGCTCAAATCTGTTTGTATTACAACAAGAATAACAAAAAAAACTCCCAACTATTGCAAAAAAATTACCCAAATGGTCCATCCATTTTCTTCCGCTTATCCGGGGCTCGGTCACAGGGGCAGCAGTCTAAGCAGGGTCTCCCAGACTTCCTTCACCCCAGACACATCCTCCAGCTCCTCCGGGGGAACCCCAAGGCGTTCCCAGGTCAGCTGAGAGACATAGTCCCTCCAGCGTGTTCTGGGTCTTCCCCGGAGTCTCCTTCTGGTGGGACATGCCCAGAATCCCTCTTGAGGAAGGCGCCCAGGAGGCATCCGAAACAGATGCCCGAGCCACCTCAGCTGGCTCCTCTCGGCGTGGAGGAGCATCGGCTCTACTCGGAGCTCACCACCCTATTTCTCAGGAAGCACCCAGCCACTCTGCAGAGGAAACTCATTTCGAGCGCTTGTATCTGTGATCTTGTCCTTTCGGTCATTACCCAGAGCTCATGACCATAGGTGAGGGTAGGAACGCAGATTGACCAGTAAACTGAGTAAACTGAGAGTTTTGGCTCTCGGCAAATGGTCCAATACAGCATCCACATCACTGCCAACGGTGCACCGATCCGCCTGTCAGTCTCACGCTCCATCCTCCCTCCCCTCCCTTGTGACAAGACCTAGAGATATTTGAACTTCTCCAGAGGACAAGCCACCTTTTTCCGATCGAGAAATATGGCTTTGGATTTGGAGGAGCTGATCTTCATCCCAGCCACTTCACACTTGGCTGAAAACCACCCCAGTGCACATTGCAGGTCCTGACTTTATGAAGCCATTAGGGCAATATAATCTGTGAACAGCAGATAATGTTGTCCAGCATTGAAATTCTGTTCAAAAAGACAATGAACAGAACCGCTGACAAAGGGCCGTCCTGGGGGAGTCCAACATGCACCAGAAACAGATCTGACACACTGCCGGCAATGCGAACACAGCTCCTGCTCCGGTCATACAGGGACCGGACAGCCCTTAGCAAACGGCCCCAGACCCCATACTCCCGGAACACTCCTCACAGGACACCACAAAGAAGATGCTTGAATGCCTTCGCCAGATCCACAAAGCACATGTGGACTGGTTGGAAAAACTCCCATGAACCCTCGAGCACCTGATGGAGAGTATAGAGCTGGTCCAGTGTTCCACGGGCAGGGTGAAAACCACACTGCTCCTTCTGGATCTAAGATTCTGCTCTCCAGGACCCTGGAACAGACCTTACTAGGGAGGCTGAAGAGTGTAATTCCCCTGTAGTTGGAACACACCTTCCTGTCTGCCAGTCCAGAGGTACTGTCCCCGAATGCCACATGATGTTGCAGAGACATGTCATCCTTGACAGCCCCACAACATCCAGAGAGTTAAGATACTCAGGACAGATTTCATCTACCCCTCGAGCCTTGCCACCAAGGAGCTTGCCAACCACCTCAGTGACTTCACCCAGGGTGATGGACGAGTCCGCCTCCAAGTCCCCAGCCTCTGCTTCCTCCTTGGAAGACATGACAGTGGGATTGACGAGATCCTGAAAGTATTCCTTCCACCATCCTACAACATCCCCAGTCAAGGTCAGCAGCTCTCCCTCCGCACTGTAAACAGTGTTAGTGAAGCACTACTTCCCCCTCCTAAGGCATTGGACGGTTTGCAAGAATTTCTTTGAGGCCGTCTGATAGCCCTCCTCCATGTCTTCAGCCTCCCCCAGAATCTGGGAGAAGCTCTCCCTGAGGTGCGAGTTGAAAGTCCCCCTAACAGACTCCTCTGTTAGGGGGACTTTCCCAACAGACCCTCACTATATGCTTGAACACAACACAACTCGGAGTATGTTTTTGATGAGGAAACAACAGAACATGGATCAAAAAATAGAGTAATATGGGCCCTTAAATATGTCAAAATTATTAGTATATCTTTTCAGTAGATAAAAGTCCTCAAAACACTGCATACATAACAGCAAGCTTAAACTCACGAATAGACTGTTTGTAATGTCATCTTAAACCCAATGTTTATAGTTTCTCCTGTTGTTTGCCAGTTGCGCCCTTACCCCATGGGGCAGTACGATGCAGATCTGGAGCAGGCCGGGCGCCAGTACCCAGCGCCCATAATGCACAGACTGGGGCTGGAGTCATGTATGCAGCGGTACCTCTGTGGACCTGCCCATTACCTGCTGCCTCTGTCCCGAGTTAGAACCATGGTCCAACAGCTGTGTGCCCACCCCCAGAGACCAGCGCTCCAGCAGGGGGCGCAGCCCTCACAGGGAGACCAGAAGGTAAAGACTGTATGCTCCACTGTCGGAAATGGACACATCAATGCAGGGGTTGTGCAGCTTGAGATTTCAGATTCTTAGCTATTTAATGCTATATGGTACTGAACAGATGTTAATGGTCTTAAAACTTTGGAAAGAAAAACAGAACCAGTTCAGTTGCTTCTCACTTACCTTATATGCATTCTGAACATCCTAAAGTGCTAATGAGTGTTTTGCCATGACTGTAAGGTTTATAATAAATAGCATGCTAATGGGCACTTCCTGATTATCGGACAGAACGCACCTGACTTATTTTGACCTTGAGATCTGCTTATACAATATATCTGTTGAAACTTTGGCCAAATACATGGGAGAAAAAACATGCACATGGGCTTAAAAACACTCAAGAGTAAACCACTTTGGAAACTGGATTTGTGGTAATGTCAAATTTATTTGTATAGTTACAGTGTTAAGAAAGAACTTATCTTAGTATTCAAAGAAGTATTTGACATTTTAAAATTTGTTCATAATTCCTCCCGCCTATTGAATGTACAGAATCTCCAATAACATTAATCTTTGAAATTTAGCTTTTAGTTTATTTGACAAGGACCATGAAGGAAGGAATACTGAAGAGATGCTTTTTACCAGATTATATCTCTCGGAGCTCATTTCCATCTGTGGTCCTTGAGACAGACAAAACATAGAATACAAAACTAGCGTAAACAGTGCAATCTATATACAGTTATGTGTTTGTGTAATATGTTCCTAATTCAGCACTAAACTATTTGAAGTCATTTTATCTATTACCTTAAGTTTTTCTATTTCAAAAGTTTGACAGTAGTTTCTAATCTGTGTGATAATGTCTCTCTAAAAAGTATAACCCTTACTGTTATATCTAGCCAAGTATTTTTCAAAAGTGTCTGTCTGTTACTAACCTGTGCCTGTTCCTCCTAAAGAAAAGAAGCCAGAACAGAGAGAGGTAAAAGGGAGAGCTCAGGGCTAAACCAGGACTCAAATATTCTCCATAAATTATTTTTTCGAATGGGCCCTGAATGTGTGCTGTTGTGGCTCAGATTCAGCAGCTCATAGATCTGGTTCTGTCGTGTAAGAGGAACGCGGAGAGGGAGGTGCAGAGTGAGATGAAGAGCGGAACGAGGAAGAGAAAGATGGTGGAGCAGGAGATGGCACAGAGGACCATAAAGCACCTGAAGGCATCACAAGAGCTACAGCAGCTGAACGCACCACACACACAAGACAGTACAGGTGAGATATCATTTCCTCATCACAAACAGACCTGGAGGTGTGTTTTGTTTCATTCACACATTTTTAACACACAAACCCTGCAGATTTAGGCTGAGTTCTCTCAGACAGAAAACTTTCTCTTCCACATTGTGATGCCATGTGGTAATACAGGAAGTGCTCCACTGTGGTTTAAACTACATACACCTTCACTGGATAATTTTGGATAATTTCAGTCATGAAATTTCCAGCCTTCACTAAACAAAAGGTAAAAGATAGTTTTTAATTTAACGACTACCGCTTCATGACATCACAAGGTGGAATAGCTTTGGAGATGTACACAGACTAATAATAAAGGATTAACATTAACAGACGTGTGAAAGAAACAAAACATCCAGGTATGTTTTTTATTCAAGCTTAGATCCTCAAAAGCACACAAACCATGGAGATGCTATTGCTTTGCTTGTAATGTTTCACAATATGGTATTAAACTTGTACAAGATGCATTTATTAAATTATGGATGTTTTTACTGATTAAAAAGACCTTTTAAAAACATGCAGCCTAACTGTGAGTGGGACCACATCTTCACAGATCTCACCTGTAACTTGGCCTCGTCTCCTTCTTCTTTCTGTGGATACTGAAAAGTTTAATACCGTACTCTGAAATACTGGAGGTAAATCAATAACATCTCTATGGAGATTGGTGGGCCCTCTACCAGAAAAGTTACAAAGTGCACCTTTAATACTGTTTTCAATAAAGGTAGATTTTCAAAAATCTTGTAGTAAAAAGTATTGATTAAGGCCATTTAGGCCAATTCACATGGAAGCCTGAGAAGCAAGAAAAATTGCATGAACGCATTTTGCCCTTGAGCAATATTTTGACTGATCTAGACAAATTAAACTATTATTTTTTGTTATTATTTGCTTCCTTTTCTTTCTGCAGAAGTTGCCTCCTCCTCTCCTGGCTCTCTAACGTCTCTAATTGGTTCAATCGGTCTGAAAAGCACAGATTTAAATGACGAAGGATCAGAACTGACCTCAAAACTCCTCTCTCTCCTCACAAGTACAGTCTGCTATATTTAACCTTGATTTTTTTTCCTGCATTTTCAGACAAAAATTTGACTCTATTCTTATACTTTCACCAAGGTCTGAACCAAAAAGCGACCAATCAAAGCACTTCTGACCCTCGGCAGGCTGGACCAAAGGAATCCTCTCCATTTGATAGGCTGGCTCTCAAACTGGGGCTGCCCACGAACTGTGATATTGATCTGCGGAAACAAGATGACTTTGAGGTAAACTGAAATATTTCATTATTGTTGGTAAAATTTGTTTAAAAAAACAAAACAAAACTCTATGCCAAGTTTTAGTATACAAGTATATTTAATACATTTTGTTGCATTTAAAGGGCCCATATTACCCTATTTGCTGATCTGTTTTATATAATATTGTTTCCTCATCACAAACATACAGTAACTGGAATTGTTTTGTTTCATTCACACATGGTTAAACCGGCATATTTAGGCTTAGTTCTTGTCTCAAACAAAAACACTCTTTTCCACCTTGTGGTGTAATGTGATAATAAAGGACGTGCTCCAGTGTGGTTTTACACCTTCACTAGAATAATTTGGATAATTTCAGACTTGGAATTGCCTATCTCTACTAGACTAAAGGTAAGCATTAGCTGTTAACTCGAAAACTTATGCTTCATGACATCACAAGGTGGAACAGAGGATTTTGAACTTTGTGGATGCAGAGACTAATAATAAAGGGTTACTTAAACTTGTGTGAGTGAAACAACACCAGGTATATTTTTGATTACATTACAACATTATAATGTGGCTATAAACTCACAACAGCCCATTTTGTGGAATATAGAACCTTTAACATTTTACTCATATATATCAGTCAAAATGTTTCAGAGATTTAGGAGTGCTAACAGTTATTTTCTGTATGGTCAAAAGTTAAATCCATTATTTTCTGAGCACCTTACAAATCAAGTTTGTATGTCTTCTGTTTTATCTTCTGTTTTGTCTTCTCTTTTTTTTTTTATGGTTTGACTATCAGCTTATTATGTTTTATGTGAAGAATTTGTCCTTGTAAAATAGGCAGTATTCATGAGGCTGGCTTCATGGTGATAGCAAAGAAGGCGAGTGCAAAGTTAAGATTATTGTGACAAATTTACAAAGAAACTGATAAATGTAAAGGACAAAGAATGTTACAGAAGAATAAACCATTGCCAGTCAAAGCTAGAGTTAACCACAAGGAAATGTAGGTGGCCCTGTTAGCTATGAGGACTGAAAATGATCCAGGAAACAAAACTCCAAAACATCAGGCTTTGGAGTGTAGGGCCTTGGTCTCATTGGCAAGTTAAAATGACATTTTCTTTCGTTCAAACAATACTTTTCCCCACCCTCTCATTGGTCAGCCTCCGTAATGCTCTTAGTGAGTGACACGTGAATTAACCAATCACAGTGAAGTCTTAGGTTAGGTTTTAAAAATACTTACATGAAATGGGAAAAAATCTTTATGGTGATCTAGGCTCTACAAAAATGAGTATCATTTTCTTTGGTTTACATGAGGTAGGCGAGGACAATATAGGTAATAAATTTTTGTGTATTTTATTTTTAATTGGTATTATTTAAAGGCGCTTTATCTGATTCAAAAACATGAAAAACAGAAACAATTTTTTTTTTACATTTTAAAGGATTTACAGTGGTCCAACATTATTCCTCACTTTAATATTTGCAGTGAATAACTAGGGAGGTTCGAATGCTTTTCACAATTCTCAGGGCAGAGTTTTACCTTGATGGTGAGGCTTATAATAACTAGTATGCTAACGTGCACTTCCTGATTATCAGACAATAAATACTTTCTAATTGGATGCAGACATTGCACAGTGAATTTATTTTGACCTCAAGAGCTGCTTATACAATATCTTTAGTGGGACAGTAAAGAGTTTGCTCAAATAAATTGAAAAAAATCTGGAAACTAGGAATGTCCCATTGAGATTCGTCTAGAACTCCCTTGAAATGAGGCATCAACTTCTCTGCCCATAGACAAAACATTTCATATAAAACAAAGTTATAACAGATGATATAAAATGATAGGACACAATTACGTACAAACATTAACACTGACTGCTCTGTGTGGTTGAAGGGGGGCAGTATGAGCAGTTACGAGGGGTTCAGTCCGGTCAGCACGTTCAGCGGAGACCCCAGGACCGCCAACAGAGAACGGGACCGGAGTCTAGACCTGGATCCAAGGAGAGCCAGGACAGCAATTCCTGCTGTCTGTGAAGAGGAGGAGCCCCCACAGCCAGAGATACCCTGGATCCTCATCCCCATCACAGGTCTGAAAACGGATAGTTTTGTTGTAGCCGATATGACAAAAACATTAATTACAGTATTTGATTTATTTTGTCATATTGAAAGAAAATACACGCACTATTCAATATTAATTTCCTGAGCATAAACAAGACAAATTTTTTATAATTTTAACAAAATATAGTTATTCCAAAGTCTCAGCTCCATTTCAAATAAACGGAACCTGATAAATGGTTATTAGAAATGGCTGCATCTTGGCTAAAATAACAGCCTAACTTGAGGTCATTATTACAATTCAGTCAATGTAGATTGAGTTCTCAATCAAATTACATTGTCTATTTAGTTTATTCTTGCTTCTTTAAGTCCTTTTCATTGTCATGTTTGATCTGGACTTTATTTGGTCCAGTTCTAGGTTTAGTTCCAGGTTTTGTCACAGTTAAATCCAAATTTTGATGTGGTGTGTGTGCAAGTGTGAATGCCCCCTTAGTCCTGGTTTAGCCATGTTTTTATTCTCATTCAGTTGTAGTTCAGCCTTGAACTAGTAGTGGTTCAGTTTTTATTGCAGTCCTGGTTTAGTCCTGGTTTAGTCCTGGTTTAGTCCTGATTTAGTCCTGATTTAGTCCTGATTTAGTCCTGATTTAGTCCTGATTTAGTCCTGATTTAGTCTGGGTTTACACCTGGTTTAGACCTGGTTTAGATCTGGTTTAGTCCTGTTTTTTTTTTTTTTTACTTAACTTTACTTTGACTTTGACACTGAGGTTTGTCTTTAGGCCTTCCCCCTAAGTACTACACCCGCAAAGACACAGACGCCCCTCAAGACCCACGTGTCCATCATGTGGGCTCCACGGCGCCCGCATCCTTCCCTATGGAGACAGTCACCATGGCAACCACCATCACCTCCTCCTCCTATAGTCCCACCCCTTCTGTACTCGTCGCCTCTTCCTCTCCAGACCCCAGCCCTCCTGCCTCCCCGTCCCAGTGCCCCTCTCCCGACCCCAGCCCACCTCCATCATGCTGCCCCTCCCCTGAACCAAACCCACCAAGCTCCTCCCCCTGTCCAAGTCAAAAATCCTCCCCAGAGCATGAAGAGGCGTTCAGTCACCCCCGCAAGAGTGAGGAAATCCCAGTCTTCAGGGATACAGCAGCAGGTAACCGCTGCCATCTCACCCCTGAAACATGATACAGAAAATGACACACCTTTAATTAGGGAACAGACTTTGAGGAGCCAAAACAAAGACGAGGAAATTTTGAAAAATAACAGCTCAGCTAAAATCTAAAAAACTTGTGTGGGCAAATGGGGCTACTCAATTAAAATGATAAATTAAGTGGTAACTGAAATCACAATTAGTGAAAGAGGAACAAGTGAAAAAGGAATAGATTTATTATAATTTTAAAAGCCACTGAGGTTTAGACATGTTTCTTTGCTCCAGTTTATGTGGGGCTGAAGAGTGGTTCATTCACCAGTTTAGCAATCAGTTCAGATTAATATAGTTAATTACACAGTCCTAAATTATTTACTGTTCACATCCGTTTGATACTTATTTTTCTTTTACAATTTTATGTCAACTCAAGGTTTCTGAGTTCCAAACAGATTCAGAAAGTATATCTGATGTGAGACAAAACTAGATGAGCAGACACTTTTTCCAAGGTCAAATACAAAATATATAAATTTGCTGGTGGAGCATTCACCACCACCTTGTCTTCCTGGAGATCTTATTGCCTGGAATGTTCCATGGTATGGCATTAAGTTGATCTATCACTACGGAGACAAACAGCTGACACCTTGAGGCCAATTACAGATTAGATCTATGGAGAGGCAGCCTCACTCACTCAGTAAGACAATGCATTTTTTCAGGTATTCGTTCAGAGTTTAATGCCATACCGTGGAAATTCCAGGCATTTCAATAACATCACCACAGAGACAAGACAGGTGGCAAACCCCCCACTAGAAAAGTTACTTAGTGCACCTTTAAAGTACGTGTATGATAGGTTTATTCTTTATTGTTGATTTAATCTGGTGGGATGATACCTGTTGTAATTATAAATTATTGTTTTTCACAAATCAAGTAGGAAGGATGAAAAGTTGAAAAATTACAGGAAGTGGAGAGTACTAAAAACACTGACATCCCACTAGGGAGGATTCTATCTATAGAGTGGTCTAAACAGTCATAGGCACTTCAAATTTCTCAAACTTATTTACTTTTGTTCTTCTATTACAGAACCATCACCAGAGACCCCAGTCACCCCTTCCCCAGTCACCTGCACCTCTTCAGCTCCGCTCAGCCCCAGACGTCCCACTCCCCCCAAAACAACAGATTTAAACGAAGAGGAAATGCACCACGCTGAAGCTCAGGACCCCATGTCTCAACCTCTTTCATTTCAGGAGATTGACTCCATCATAAACCGCCATCTTGACTCCTTTAATTCTGACGTACAGTGCATTTTACAAAACCAACACGTCCCTTACACCTTCCCCCAATCTCCTCACTCTACATCCCAACCTGAACACACGGCGAGCACTTCACTGCACACTCCTATTTCACAATTTTCACCGTACGTTTCTTTTTACCATCCTTGCCCTCCCGTCCAGTGGTACGTCAGCTCGCTACACAGACAACTCAGCAGTATTTTAAATGATTGTGAAAACCGCTGGACTCCCAATAGACCTGATACCACTGCTTCTTCTGTTACAACTACAGATGCTGCGTCTACCCCGGACCTAGCTAGCAGGATTAGCGAGTTTGTGGCTAGCATAAGAGCTGGTAACGATGAGGGAGACGTACTTCCTGAAACTAGGGATTGGCAAACTGTCTCGGAACAGGAAGTCGCTACCTTGTCAATGGACTGTGATGAAGACTTAATCGAAAAAACAATACAAAATGATGTTAGCTGTAGTGATATTGAAACTGAGCTTGATATTAGCAATAATGGAAGGAGACAAGTACAGTTCGGAAGCAACCGTATTGAAATTTGCTTCAGAAATGAACCGGAGGCCCACAGCAGTAACAGCAGAAGTGACAGTGAAGATGTTGGGGATTTGACTCCTGCATCGCCACCAGGGAATTCAGACCAAAACGCGTTAAATTCTCTAATAAATCAGTTACAACCGGAAGTTTTCACGACTTTGGTGGAAATCATCAAAGATATAAAGAGGAATGCACAACATTACTACATCCACTGCCCCGAAGGAGATGACTACACCATTCAGGAGATCAGGGTGAGATACTAGATATAGTATTCTTATCAATCTCTGTATTTTATTATTATATTGTTAGTGATATCGCAGTCTGCTGTATTGATACTGTAATTCTATTTTGATAATAATGAGAAATGGGCTTGAAACTCAAAACCAATTTTGATACTATAGTGATAAGTTTTGGACAGTTGTGGTGGACATATTTGGGTAAGAACGAAATAAGAGGTCTTGAGTCAAAGAAATGCATGTGTGGTTTATTCTGTTGCAAGAGAATGCATCTGCACATGTCTGTGTAAGAGGTTATCCTGACTAAATAATAAGGGGAGGACTGGACAGTGAGGGGATGGCCCTAAGAGAGTAATGCCAGTTTCAATGGAAAAGAACTGACAGAAACTAGCCAGAAATCGAGGACAGTAAATGTATTTTGCTATTATGTAGTTTAATCTGCCATTTAATTCACAAAGATGCTGTTTACTGTTTACTACTGCGTACATAGTTGTATTTGCACAAGGTCCTAATGATTTTGAGAGCTTTTAGCAGTGCAAAGTCACACCCTCTTTTATAATCAGGGAATGCTCTTTTTATCAACCAAGACCTTGCTCATTTTTAATGAGTTACATTGATGTCATGCAGTTTACTTGTTCTATTTCATCCCTACTGACCACCAGAGGGCAGTGTTGAAAGCACTGAATGATTCTTTCAGCACCGCCCTCTGGCTGCCATCCTAGATTCATAGAACCATAATTACTTCTGTAACTAAGTTGTGGCTGTTTAAATGACTTTAACTTTTCTCCATATTTAAGCATTTTAGTCATCCTTTACAGGAGTTTTAGTCCTGGTGTATTTTGTGTCTCAGGCTCAGCTGACACAGCAATCTTACATCGAGCAGAGTCCATTCATGTTTGTGAACCAAGAAGAAAAGTCCAACAGAAAACTACTGGTGATCATCAAGAACCAGGACATTGCAGCCCACATCCACCAGGTACAAAAACGCATATTTTTTTGATAAATTATTGATTATTTGCAATTAATACCATAACATTCAACTACTTGGTGACATTAGATATAGTGATTATTGATAAATCCTTAAAGGAACTGAATGAAAGGTTTTGATTGCAGGTTAAGGCACACAGCTACATACAGTTCCTTAATGATGCCCAACTCTTTTGATTATAACCCATTTTGATGTGCTGCCTGCTACAATGTTTTCCTAAAATCTTAACCAGTAACTGTCATGTAGAACAGAGCCTCAGATTTTAATGTTGTTTTGCTTTAATCAAATGTTCTTTTGCCTTCAGATCCCAGAGCTGCTGTCTCTGAAGAGGCATCCCTCTGTGCAGTTTTTAGGTGTGGACAAAGCTGAGGACCTGAGGAACCACAGTTGCTGTGAGCTGTTCTCCTCCGGGGGGCAGGTTCTATCTGACGAGATGGTGCTCAACCCAGACATTGTTTCACGTGGTACAGATAATATTAATAGAATATTATTAATATGTTGATACAAAATTTGTAAATGTGTTCCTCTTTAGATTTCTGCCTCCGTGGCCTGGCCCCGGATAAGCAGAAGAAAATGGATGGACAAAGCTAAACTCTAGTGTGACTCTTCTGTGTTACAGAGAAACTGTCCGCACTGCTGTCCGTCCTGGAGGAGCACAGTTCCCCAGAAAATCTGTGGAGGTGGAAAGTTCACTGCAAAACGCTCAAGAAACTCAAGGAACAATCCAGGTACTGACAAAGAAGGCTTTAAGTACATTTGATCATCTATAGCAGCAATCTTCCTTTGATACTGAATACTTTTAGTAATTTTAATCATTTTCATATGGGGTGTGTTCAAATCCAGGACCGTTCAATTTGCAAAGCACTGCTCATGTGTCACAGGTTTGACTGTGTTTATAATCTTGCTCGATCATATCCTTCCAACATCTTAAACTCTGTTCTTGCCAAGATCTCATGCATGAACAAAGATTCTACAGAAAAGACACGATCACACAAAATTCATATTTATTTATTTAATGAGACGGGGACAGCGCACAATTTTTACATTAACCTTAACAGAAGAGATGCACGTGTAGCACTAGTGCATTGTTAATTTAATGACCTTTTTATTTTAAGTCTGTTCTTTCAATACAACAACTGTTCTGATCTTTTGTGGAGAAAGTGACTTCTACCATGATGTACCAGGAATCTAGAAACATCTGACTGTATCTTATTATTGTCAGTCCAAGTCACAGTGGTGTCTTCAACACAACCCAAGTGAACATCGCCGTCCGCTCTCGGTCTCCCCCTGCAGGTTCCGCCGGGATGCTGCCAGCCTGTTGGAGGTGCTGATGTCGTTCCAGAAGCGTCAGATCGTGGAGATTTTGCCATATCATAAATGTGACATGTCTCAGGGCCCTGAGCTTCTGGACTGTGCTGTGGAGCAGCAGGGGACATACACCAACTTCAGACACACGTTGCTGCTCACAGGTGAGGGAAACAAGTGAGCCTTATCACAATTAAATCAGATTATCATATTGAAAAGTATCAACTAAAAGACTGCAACAATGTCCTAACCTTGCTAAGCTTGTGCATTTGTGGACGGGTAAGGTGAGTGTGCTTTTCTCTCAAACAGTTTCAACAAAATCTTGATTTTTCATCTTGTTCTGCTCTTGTAATGAATGCTTCAATCATCTTGGAGTATTCACATTTGTTGCAACTCCTGAAATATTTTCTTGGAGAATTCGAACATCCCAATAGGTCCCAATCACTTTCAGCAAGAGTCATCCCAGATCAAAGTGTAAATAAAATACATTTCAAATCAAATCTTAATCCAGAATTGTTCATCCCTGTTTCAGTCCTGTGCCTTTGGCCATGCATGGAGGCGAGGGTAATGGTTTTGCCTATATATCAATGTTTTGATATATAGGCATATAGGTATATCTTTTTTTTTTTTCATTGAAATCCCCACACCACTTATAAACTCCACCTCCAATGAACATGGTCAGTGCTTTGTACATGTTGGAGAAAGTTCATGAACTTCATGTGTCACTTCTTTCATTCAGAAAACCTTCTGGTGAACAGCTCTGGAGTTGGAGTCCTCGTGTGTGGGATCGATGAGTTCCTTCAAGATTTCAGGAAGCTCATCGGTTACCATGACGATGATGTCCAGGAGCCAGTCAGAGATGAGCAGTCTACGGAAGGTACAAGCCTTTTCAATCTGTAATCTTGTTTAGACTCAGACCAAAGGAGCACTATGCAACTTTTCTGGTGAAGGTAGTGATTGTCTTTTTTTAAAGTAAATAACATTAAGAACATGAAGTGGAAATCAATGGCCCTGGTTTAGTTCTGGTTTAGTCTATTGTATTTTTTATTTATGTTTAAAAATGTAATTAAAAAAAACATTTAAGCTGTTCCTAAATGCTTTTCTGTGTGTGCCTAGACGTGTCTCAGTCGGGTATGGTCCCATCTGAAGACGTGGTCTCAGGCTCTGGTCTGGGCTCCATCCCTCTGCACTCAGAGCAGGACTTTGAGGTTCTGCACCGCGCTATCTCACAGCTCCGTGCCGAGAGACAACAGCAGCTCAGAGACAACCAGAGCGATACCGCCAGCGAAGGACAGGGGACAGTGTCTACTACTGATGTATCTACAACTGATCTGACTGCAAAATCTGTGACTGACACTGAACAGAGGCCCTGTACACCACCAACAGGTACAAACCCAGTACTACAGGAACAATCCAGTTCACATTACATTTTAAACTAATTAAAGTTGCACTATGAATAGCTTTAGAATGATTTAATAGCAAAGTAATAAGAGCAGATATACGTGGACAACTGAGGGGTTGTGCAGATGTAAGATTACATGATAATATAAATTATTTAATGTTGTAAATTCCATTGTACTGTGTAAATAATGTTTTTATTATCATTGTGGCATCAGAATCAGTACTGATTGAGTCTGATACAAAGGGATAGGACATTTGACATTAACATTAGGAGGATTTTAGTATTTTGACACTACTGTGCATTGATCCTGCATACTACATGTTTGTTTACTGCAAAAAGATTCAGATGGATAAATGAAATGCCATACAGTGGAACATTCCAGGCAAAGCAATATATCTATGGGTTTCAGAGCACTGTTGCCATAGCAATTATTATGCGCAGAGGTTGTCTGTACTTGCCAGCCCAAAACAACAATTAAGGACATACTCATAAACTTAACATTATCAACTTTATACAGACCACGTCAGCTCTGCCAATATGGACATGGCTTATTTTAAGCCCCTTTGGCTGCTCAGGTAAGAGAATAGTCACGAATAGTTCATGTCAACAGTCAGACAGATTATACAATTCAGAGCATGAAGGAAGCAAACAGATGTCCAGATCCATTCTGTTCAGATCAAATTCTGATGACAATGATCAAATGGATGATCTTTTGAGCAAAATTGAAGGAATTACAGTAAGGATAACCATAAGATTTGTTGTACCATATCTGAAAATTACCTCCTGATTTTCTATCTTGAAGAATATTACTAAAGTCCAATATGAGGCTGAGAGAGATGCAATCCATAAAGAAAAGTTAAGAATCACGGGTGACTTCTATCACGGGAAAAATCCAACATGTCTGCTAAAAGAGAAGAGAGGACCGCCTTCATCTGCCCAGATGGAGGTACAGCAGTTTTCGGGCCCTCACCCACAGCTTCAAGCATGGACGTTTGTTCTACCCAGATTTCTTCAAATCATCACCAGGGGGCGCATGAAGTTAGAGTGCCACCAATGTGGATCCTGTGGCCCAATACACTGTGCTGAGTGGAGGGTTCCTGACCCTGTAGCCAGCACTAGAGGATTACTGTACAAAACACAATGGAAACATCAACTGTGCAGCTGCACATGGCGTTTACTTCTGAAATGAGTCATGCCCCTGCTTGGGAAAGAACTTAAGTTTCCTCTGTTTCTTCATACATTAAAGAAGGAGCCAAAGTTGTATAGGAAGGTGCTGAAAAGGCTTCTGCCATTTGGAATAGCGGCACATTCCAATATTAACTCAGTATAAATTCAGAACTCTTGATTATGGAGGCTGTGTTTTTATAACCTCAGCGATGTGAGCCTGTTTGCAATGGAAGCCAGTACGATGTAGTTTAAGCTGATATTAACTGATAAGTGCAGCGGTTCATGCTTTGACACTCACTGTTTCAGCAGCTACGATGAACAGCTCCACTGAAGCAGTAAATGGTACAGTGAAGGTTCAGGACCCCGGTAAACCTCTGGTCGCGGTGAGTTGGGTTTTGTCAACTTATGCTGCCCTGGTTTAAGGCAAATATTGCGCTCTTGCCAGACTTTTGATTCAATATGATTACACTTCCACCCATGTCTGCAGCTATAATCTACATTTTCCTGAATTTTCCTTCCTGGTCATTGTCTTTTGTGGTCCTTTGTGGTTTCTTCTGCTTTCGTTGTTGGTGGCCTTCAGCATCATAAGTCCAGTCTCAATGGTAACAGATATGTTTTTGTAGCTTCCAGAGGGTGGGGACGCACAGGAAGCTCCCAAATGCACTCTCCAGATTCCTGTTGTTGAGGTACCACTAATGACCATATCCCAGACCAGTATTACAGGGGCCACAGCCATTACTCAGACAGTACTGTGAATTTTGCTTACTTACTTAAACTTAAACCCGCTCAATTCAATGATGAAGAGAATTCCTCCACACTTTTTGTTTACGGCGGCCTTTGATTTTCTCATTCCAGGTGCCTCTCTCTGTTCCGGGATTGGATCACAAACTCCCGCCTTTAAATATGAATCCAGATAAAGTCACAGTGCAGCCACGCATCAAATTCTTTGCGTATAATAATAATAATAATAAGCTCATTAAAATGCTTGATGGATTCTTGAGATTCTCAAAAAATTGGCCATCGATAACTCATGTTCGGTTTGCTCTGAGATGTCCTCTTTCAAATGTGTTATGTCTGTCCAAATGTGAGTATGAGCGCCTGAGAGCCTGTAGTACGCTGGTGCAAACACATCGCCACGATATGCATGGGACAAACTCTCGGACCCCCGTCACAGTGGAGATGATGAAGGGCTTTCACGCTGGATGCACTTTCCTCTGGTGTCGAGTCGCTTCAGTCACAGGAGACGACTTCAGGGTGATCACAGAGAACGTGTCACTCAAACTCATTGAAGAGATCTTTGCCCACCGGGCTACAGAGGAGATGTGTGCCCACCGGGCTACAGGGGAGATGTGTGCCCACCGGGCTACAGGGGAGATGTGTGCCCCCCGGGCTACAGAGAAGAAGAGAGAGCCAAGGGCTGAGGCTTCCCGCCACAGACTGCATAAAAAGTGGACTAAGCGAGTATGACGTCACCCACAGCGTTTGCCTCCACTTAAATGCAGCTTGTGATTAATATAAACATTTTAAGACCAAAATGATGAGGATCACTGCAGCACTTATAGAGAGAGGGGGGATAAAATTCCAACGTTAGTCAAAGGGAGCCAGGGTCAGAAGAAGCAGGAAGCGCTTGCTTGTGAACTTCCTATTTGGAATGCGCGGCTAGCTCATTAGCTATGTCCATTTATATATACAGTCTGTGCTACCTGCACACTCAAAATCTGATCATTATGAGATTTTTGGAGCTAAAAGTTTCTTAAAATGAAATGTAAATGACAAAATTGTCTGTTTTCTGATCATGGGCCTTTTCATTTCTCACATCAAACTGCAGTTTGCATGTGCATGAAGTACATTTAAATGTCTATTACTATTAAATGGATTTATCCTTGAGTGAGGAATGAGCACGGGACTGTTACCATCCCTGAGGTGCATGAGCAGAACTGAACAGCCGCAGGGCTGCACTTGTGCTGTGACTCTGTTTGTGTTCACTGGAGAATGACCGTCCTGTGTCTCCAGTGTGTGTTATGTGAGGGACTGTTATATGTCCACTCATCATGTCTGTGTTTACTCTAACTTGTAACTCAAGAGGTTGAACCAATAAGGACCTACTGCATATAATGTGATTGCCTGAAAATATCACCTGTTGTAACTTAAATATGAAAAGAAAAATAAATCTGAGATCAATGCCTCAACTAAATAACTGGCACCCTCTTCCTGTGTGGAGGGTTCACCAGCAGCACTCAGGTAAGAGACCAGAAACCTGATCTACAAATCACTATGAAACGTTTGTGTTATATTTAGAAGGAAAACTAAAGGCTTGAGGAGCAAACTAAGCAAAACATTTTTAAAAGATTAAAGAAATATTAGAAGGACATATTACTAGCTAAACTGATAAAAGAATCACATGTTTTTCATGATATGTTTGTAGAGATCTAAACTACATGGTTTGCATTTTATTGCCAAGTTCAGATTTAGCTACAGTGACTAAAAGATAATGACACACTCCAAAAAAATTGCATAATACTTTTTTGCTCAAGGTTAGAACTCATTCAACTCATGAAATTAGCTAAATTGCATAATCATTTTCCTGATTATTTATTTTATTTATTTTTTCAGATAAAGTTTCTAACAGTGAGGATGCGCAGCTGACACCAGGACGAAAAGCTGTGGCTGCTACTTTAGACCTGATCCACTCAACGATGTACCTGCCCGAGGAAGATCGATCTAAAGCCCAGACCAGAGTCCGAGTGCAGACCCAAGTCCAGACCACAGACTCCATACAAGACAGGCAAAATCCAGATACTCAAATTTGTGCCATTGAACGGACTACAGTCATGGCTACAGTTGCCATAGACCAGAACAGACATCTGCCGACCCAAGTCACTCCAAGCCAAGATAAGAGTCCGGAAATACAAAAACCAGATCCAGCTGAGACCCAGTTATCCATAGACCGCAAGACAAGTCCAGAGACCCACGTCCAAAAAGCCCTGGAGGGAAGAGAAGAGCCCACAATCAGCAGTGGAACTCAGGGGAGCTCCATGCCTTCAGAGCCTCAGAGAGGAGTGACTTCTGGGAAAAGTGAACCAGCGGCCACCCCTGTACATCCACCAGTTCTGAACAAGAGTTTGAGCCAAAGCAAAGTTGAACAAGAGAAAACTACAACTCCCATCAGCACTCCAGACAAAAGGTAAGTCTAATACATTGTCTATAAAAGGTACCACAATGGATTTCCTTTGGTAATTTATGGCCAGGTTTAACTGTTTTATGTTATTGTTATATTAATTTATTTATGTTGGAGCTTCACATCCATATTGACCCCTTGGCAAATTTTGAGATAAAAGTTACCATGAAACTTCTGACTGATACTGAGGGATGTCAAGATTATTTGGTTAATACTGGACAGTAGTGATTATTTATCTCACCATATATATATTTTAGTTTCAGTGTGTGAATTTTGGAAGCAAAATTAAGTAAAATTTCAATTCAGTCTATAGGCTCTTCTCTTCACTCTTACCAGAAGACGTTGGAAAAATGCAGATAACGACTTCCCGTGTAATTACCGACACTGGGCATGTGACAAAACCATGAATTCAGCAGTAGTGGTCTTCACAACCTGCCAAAGCTTTCCAAGGGGCATGTGACTCTAATCGCAGCTTTGACGTCACTTACAGAGAGCTGGTTGTAACTGCTGATCTGCTGAACATAACAGAATTTGTAATATATTTTTTTTTAAATTAGACATTATAATGCACAAATAGCAAATTTATAAAGGAAAGAAGAAAGAATACAGTGACAGCTACATGAAGAAAACCGGGTCATTTTCTCAGTTTTCCCAGATTTTGTTAGTTACTACCACAGACAGAGCCCAAAGGAAGTCGTCATCTGCATGTTTCCAAACATCTTTCCGTTTTGTGACGTAAGTGTGAATAGAGGCTTTTGATACTTTGGAGTTAATGTCATCACAATTTCCTGGAGGTGTGCGTGACGTCACTGCAAAGCGTACACCATAAATATAAACCAAAATATAAAGTGCTGTTTTAACTGGCATTTTATGTCAAATTTACTTTTTTTTAATCATTCAGAAAGTTTGTTTTAAAAAAACTGGTCACATAGTAGAGGAACAGTGATGTATTAATAAAGTCAAGTAATTTTATTTATATAGCACATTTAAAAACAACCATATCAAGTTGCACCAAAGTGCTTTACACCATGAAACACAACATAGTGAAACAATAACACAAATGTAAAATATATAAATTATTACATAAACAAGTTACTTGATGCACAAAGTTTAAAGTACAGCTCATAGGCTCACCAAGGTTCTTTGCAGAACTGTGCAAATTTGTGGCAAGAGGCCCAAAGTCAGATGTGAGGGTGTCAGTGTAAGGTCCAACTAGAATAACTTCAGTCTTATTTTCATTTAGCTGGAGAAAGTTAAAGGACATTCAGTTTTTTATTTCTGCAAGGCAGGCATGGAGGGTGGCAAAGGATGAGACATTTTTGGGGAAACAGGAAGATAAAGCTGGGTGTTGTCAGCATAGTGGATGTGGTACTTAATCTAATGTTTTTCTAGGATTGAACCCAGGGGGAGCATGTATAAAGAAAATAATAAACATAAAAAACATCAACACATTTTATGTTCAAAGTGAATTAAGGATTTCACTGTTGTTTGCTCATATGTGCACATTTGTGAACAAGTAATTGCTAATCTAAAATAGTTTCTTCTTGCAGTATTAATCATAATCATACAGTTTGATATTGTGATATGACATCCCTTGTGGTACCCTGTTAAAATACAGTTTAATACATTCTTCTGTAACCCGGAAGAGGTTTGGTTCTTTCTAGAATTCCCATAATGTCTCTTTTTTTCATTCTCTGTTGTAGATTACTTTTGTTTTTTATTTTCGTCCTTTATCAAAGTAATTTCACATTTTGTTACTTTTAGCTTTAACTAATTGGCTTTAGCACTGGCAGCCATTTTTTTAACTGCAGTCCAATTGCTTCATGCTGCTGTGTGCCTGTCCTTGCGCCCTCTGCTGGGTTTTGTGTCTGGAAATTTCATTCGATTTGATTCTCAACCTGGTAATCGCACCTCATCAGAACTGACCATGTTTCTGATGTAGTGCACTGGACTTTAAATGGCGTAACAAAATATTTAAGCCTCTCGGACTCAGCAGCCATTTGGGTTTGGTTTCTGCGTCGATGTGGGCAGATTATTGAAAAAAAATCTTCCTCCTTGTTTGTACTTCTGAGGTATTCAGACATTGTTCACATGGATTTTCAGAAGCAGATGGATTTTACCATCCAGATACAGACTAAAGATACTGTCACAAAATCCTACATTTTGGGAGCTTTGGTCCCAAATACGTATCTGGAGGATTGGCCTCTCAGCCGGTTTGATACTAGATAGTGAACTGGAAGAAATTCAATGGAAGCTCCTCTTTTGGTCCAGGACTCAAACCTAAAACTCTCCATTACCGCCGTGCCTCTGTGCTCTTGTTTGAGCTTAAGATCTATACCTCCATCCATTCATCCATTTTCGTCCGCTTATCTGGGGCCGGGTCGCGGGGGCAGCAGCCTAAGCAGGGACTCCCAGACTTCCTTCACCCCAGACACGTCCTCCAGCTCCTCCAGGGGGACCCCGAGGCGTTCCCAGGCCAGCCGAGAGACATAGTCCCTCCAGCGTGTCCTGGGTCTTCCCCGGGGCCTCCTCCCGGTGGGACATGCTCAGAACACCTCCCGAGGGAGGCGCCCAGGAGGCATCCGGAACAGATGCCCAAGCCACCTCAACTGGCTCCTCTCGATGTGGAGGAGCAGCGGCTCTACTCCGAGCTCCTCCCGTGTGACTGAGCTCCTCACCCTATCTCTAAGGGAGCGCCCAGCCACCCTGCGGAGGAAACTCATTTCGAGCGCTTGTATTCTTGTAATCTCATCCTTTCGGTCACTACCCAGAGCTCATGACCATAGGTCATGAGATCTATACCTGCATTTTCTTATTTTTTGGGAAAATCTGCAGCTGTCAGTGAACTTAAATACATGTATGAACCAAATACATGATTCAGTGTATTTGAAGGTGCCATACCTTACCTACCTACCCTACTGTATTAAAAATGTGGAAAAACAGAACTAGTTCATTTTAAACAATCCAAGTTATTCCTCTCGAGCATCGTAATTACCGTAATTTCCAGGCTATTGAGAGCACCTGAATATAAGCCGCATCAACAAATTTTTAACTCAATTTTACACTTGTACATATATAAGCTTCACCTGAATATAAGCTGCATGTGTCCATATCTTCAAGAATGTTTTCAAGTTCAGGCCATTTGCTTTTATTACCTCTGAAAGCCTTTGTCGTCTTTTTACATTGAGTCAGTTCATCACGCTGCTGTCGCCAACATCTCATCATCGGCTCAATGATGCTGAGTTCATGTGCGGTAGCTCTGCTTCCTTCTTCCACAGCCACATCAGTTGCCTTTCATTTAAAAGCTGCATCATCTGCATTTCTTTGTGTGTTTTACATGAGGAGGGAGTGTGTATGAAGCGCAAAATTAACTGTTCAAAACTAGCATCTTCCTCGACTCATCACCCCCCGTCTCTCCCTGTGCATGTCTCCTGCAGAAAGAGCCACTGTCGTGTCTCGTATCATGTCAGTGTCTTGTAGCAGTTCAGCAGATTTCAGGCTCTCCTGAGGGCTAGGCGAGTTATATCAATCAGGTGTGAGTGGATGTCTAGCTGCTGAATTTTGAGACGTTTCTTCTCATTTATGCACCCACCTGCATTTTACGCATATGTAAGACGTATCCCCCTCACTAATGTTAATTTAGCATCATAACTTATTTTATCACACAGCAATAAACTGTTTGAGTGCACTGACAACATCACTAGCTATCTTTGCTACTTCATGTTAACCATAGATCCATGTGTAACCGCACAGACAGCGGCGCCTTCTGCACTCAGTCTGCACGTATCCACTGTGTTGCCAAATCATATACCGTTTATATTAGCCGCAGGGTTGCAAAGTGTGAGAAAAAAGTAGCGACCCATAGTCCGGAATTTACAGTATTCACCACAATGAGTGTAAGTATTGTATGTATTAGTTTACACAACTTTCAGAGGCCAGAGCGGAGGTTGCAGACTGCCAACAACAACTAGCATGGTAACCACACTCTTCCTGTTACTTGGACAATAAAACGCTTTTAAATTCGATGCAGACAAATTTTGACCTCAAAATATGACCACTGTAATGGTGATAGAACATTATTAGCGCATGTTTGTGTATGTTATAGCATGATTTGAAGCCACAGACATTGCAATGAACATAGCAACCTCGTTCCAAACAGGAAGTGAGCATGGGCGTGTATCTGGCTCCATCTACTCCAATTCAAATAAATTTTCTATTGTAAAAAAAGTCACCCCTCTCTTGGTAACTGCTGCTGTGAGCCTCGTCATTTTGGTCTTAAAATGTATTAACCCACTGTACATGATCCCGATGTTTTTATTTCTGTTTTGTCTCTGAATCAAAATATGAACATTGAAAACAAACCAATCAGGCATTTTTCTTCTTCCATGAACAACATATTTAGTTGACAGTGTTAATTACCCACATCCGTTTAAACCATTGGTGCATGTGGAAGGGACGTTGGCTTTAATCATCTCGCTCCAGATTGACTCCAGATTGGCTCTTTGGTTGCTTTGATACTCGCGGTCGGAATTCCAAATTCTTAAAGGTTGTATAGAGGATTTTCCAAGGAACGAGAAATCCAGCGACTGTTTGTCCTTTTTCAAATGTTGCGCATGCGTGAACCCCCCCTCCCCTACAGCTCCCTACGTAGAAACGCCTCCTCCCTCCTCCTCCTTACGCCAGAAACAGGTTTGTTTACAGCCGTTGCGCTGCACATGACTTGTAAACAACTAACTACAGTGTTGGTTAGGCAAGGCGGAGAAGTGAGGAGCGGGGGCAGGGGGTGCGCGGATATTTCGTGCACGGAGAAGAGGTGAGGAGCAGGGAGAAGAGCGGAGCGGGGAGAGGAGCGGTGCGTGGAGATTCCGTGAGGAGCAGGGAGAAGAGCGGAACGGGCAGCGGGGAGAGGAGCAGAGAGGGGCGCGCGGAGATTCCGTGTGAATGAACTAGCTACTACTACAACATGCAGCTGCAAGCGGACTTTTTCTTTGCCTTGAAAATTACGT